TTACTGTAGCTTGTTGAACATCACTACTCATTTTTCTGTATTACCACATTCTTTTATATGAAGCCTCTGACTTCATTTGACTCTAACAAGAAATAATATGAATTTAATCTAATTTATTATTCCTCTGTTCTACTACAAGATGTTAAGCAACGTTTGGCGTTCATATCCAAGTGCCTTGCTGCTCTTCTGTTTCTCTTTTTTTCTTCAGAATCTTGCTCTGAGGGCATAGCCATGGAACTTCTGACGTCTGGAACAAACTTGACGTACTCGTCCCATCAAGGTCATGGCTTACAGCGAGCGCTCTACGAGTCTACTTTATAACAACTATAATCTTAATAAGCTGGGAAGCATGCTGTGCGTCAACAAATGTTGTGATTCGTAGATCATGCCTGTAAAAACGGCGTGTACCTGCTCATGCACAAATATGTTATTATTATTACTAGTTTATAATGAAATAACGTCTTAGCTTACCATAATTTCATTCTTTTCGATAATTAATTCCGACACTTTTTATTCAAAGCTATAGGAATATTTAATCATATTATATGAGTCAGACTTCAGTGGCTTCATCATGCTGCTCAGATATTTCGATAGTGCATATGTTGGTATGTTTGTGAGGCCTACTATAGTTCTTATAGGGATGTTGACTTTATCAATTTTAGGTATATCATGAAAGCGTGAAATATTACATGACTTGGGATATAGAGCGAATCATAGCGAGACACCAAAGGCTGGCTTTGGTTCTTGCAAAAGTTGAGTTGTCATTGATTTGATTTTATTTTTAATCGTTAGAGAATTCTTTGGATAGATATTTTCATATGGCCCTGTGGAGAGATGTTCAAGATCTTTATTGATATGATCTTTTTTATTCATAACCACTGTTGTTTACCTTTGTGAGCTATTGTGATTGTAATAGATTTGTCCTTCTGAAGCAAATGTAGAGCCTTTAATTCTTCATTATTATTCACAAATATCTTATGGGTACATAAGTGATGTGAAGGAACCATTTCAAGTTTCTTCCAAAATGCAATAGTACACAAGTTTCAGTAATCTTAACATTACATTTGCCATATTTGCAAAAGAGCAGGAGAAAAAGATAATGATAACAGAATAATAATAAATCAGGTTCTGTACAATTGAGAAGAATAATGAGTTGACTTTAGAGATTAAAAGGGCGTTATAGTGTTTTTAGTCAAAATATGGGATGTCCTTTGACGTAATAAATGCGACTCTTTTTCCTGTAGTTGTGCGATTATTGGTTCCAATTTGTGAAGTTAAACCTCAGTAATGATACCTATAGGTTACAAGTGTATTTGGAATTGTGAAATAATGGTTTGTAGAATCATGGTCTACTTCGATATTAGTACTGCTCTAATAATAGACCTAATCCTAAGCTACTAGATTTGTCATGATTTAACTGCCTATTCTATCAGATTTTATGTGGAAGTCACATTATTATCCACACCAACTCATTCCATCGTAACAATCACCAATATATGTTGGAGAACAAGCTTAGGCTAGAAACAGAACAATATATTTAATATGAATGAAAGATAAGGTAACATTCAACAGGAACCACGCCTGCAAGGCTGAGCCATGCAATCCGATCAACTCAAATTAATTAAATTCCTTGTTCCCGCCCTCCCCATCGTCGGTTTTTTCTCCCCGTTAGATGTTGAACAACTTTTTCCCCAATTGTCTCGTGTTCAGGTTTGATGATTGTGTGGTCAGGGCTCAATGTCACTACAGGTTAAATAATAATAACATTAGTGGTGACACTAGTATATGTGTATAAATAAAAAAAGACAGTAAACTTTAAATTAGAAAGTATGGATATACTGGCCAAATTAAGCCATTCTGTAATTAATACTTCTACTGGGAAATGGGCCCTTATATTGGCCAAGGTAACAAAAGGCCTTGATCGTACTTCCTTTTTGCATACTGTCGTGACCTCTAAATTTGAGTACTTGCTTTTACAGTTGGGAGAACTTTGAGTCCTCCAGACTTTGGTAGAAAGTTACTAGCCCGGTAAAACACTGAGAGTGATTGAGTTTTGCTGTCGCTATAACCATTGTGAAATAGATGGGCTAGTATTGAGCCAAATAAGATTATGACTATACCCTTGGTTAGTCACGCTAGATGTTTACGTGAGTGAAAATGTTGGTTCCTTGAACACTGATATGTGTTGTTTGCTCGAGAAAATTAGTCGAATTGAATAGTTTGAAACTAGGTGGCCATTCAAGGTAATTCGCTTTTTAGCCCTAGAGTGCATAGGAAATTCAGTGATGAATTTTTTAAAAATTATTTTACTAAATCAATAGATTACTATTTCACTGGCTGGATCACCTTTGAAGTGTATGCGCATGGACGGTGTTTATAATTTTATTCCCAAATGCATGGTTACATGAGCTTGTGTACTTGCTAGGGTATCTGATATCTTATCGGTAAATAAAATTTCAAAATGAATATTTCTGTAAGGCTGACCACGTTAGTTCTACAAGACACGCCCTAAATGAAGGCACTCGGTCATGCATCCGCGCCAGATCACGAGTGGGTATTTCGAGCCACTCATCCGTTGCAAATACTAGCAAACTTGGATCAATCGCTTCTCGACATATCGGTAAGCCTCCAAATGAATTTTCAGCTTTATTCATTCCTGACTTCTGATTTGACTGGGTTGGTGTGTTTCCATCACAAAGGTGTTACGTGCAAAACATTTTCAAACTTCGAATGCCTATGGCATCTTTAGTGGTGAGCCCGATGTGATCAGGCACAATAAACAGTAAACTGTAAGTCTGTTCTTTGTCGGAACATTCTGTATCATTTTTTAGTTTTCGGTTTTACATATTGTGATATTTTTTGGATATTGTTTCCTCGCTTATTGGTATATTTCATCTTCATCATGACAGAACAGTCACCTAATCTATCTAAGATTGAGAATCTTTTGCCTCCCACCCTTTAGCTCATTCCATTCTGGACGAACAATATGAAAGCCTGGTTGTGCTACTCGGAAACTGACGTTTAGGAGTACGGTGTGACAGTCACGTGCGCAATTTCTCGCAGTAGTGAAGGCGGTACAATGCTAATTCACCAGGTACGACACACCTAGTATGCTTACATGTGATGTCTCGAAACCTTCTAAAACTTTAGAATAGGCCATCACTATACGCGGGACATAATCGACTAACGAAGTTTGTATCAACTCCTCCACACCATCGAGCTTAGCCACAGAAATGTTGCTCCCTATGCGAGAAGTCATCAGTCAACGGACCTTGGACGAGTGCCTATTTAGATAACACTTCTTGTTTACGCTTCCTTGACAGGTGCAGGCAGTCCTTGTATATTTTCAAATCAAGGTTGTAGATGAACCAACTGCACCTGGTAATTGGGTTCTGGAGATCGCCAGAATTCCGGCGCTTTTTATTCTATCCAAGAAAAGCTTCAAACAACACAAAAATGAAGTCGCAAACTTTTGTCACACGATATTCGCCGTAATCTCAGACGCTCTCAAACTCGTCGAAGAAATGTGTCACAATAAATATCTGTTTCTAGACACGGAGAGACAAATAATCTTGATTGGTGTTGGTTCCACAATAAACACGGTAAGTCCTCTTCAAATTGAGGAAAATCCTCAAATTTCTTGACTTCCTAGTCGTCCGACACAAAAAAGCTTCTGGAAAACTTATAGGGGTATTGGGCCCTAACCACACTATACTCAAAACTGAACACAAGATAACTGGGAAAATAGATCTTCAACATTTAACGCGGATATAAGACCAACAGTGAAGGCGAGGAGAATTAATTCAATTCAATCAGATGAGATGGTTCAGCCTTGAAGTTTTGGTTATTCTACATAACTTGTCTTTACTCACATTATAAATATTATTCTATACTCATTCTAAATGTGTTCTTTAAAAACACACTGATGCGACTTTCACGTAAGATCTCATAGGTTAGGCTTTCACATCATGACATATCAACAATAATGCAGTAGACCATAATTCTACAAAATTGCCCACCGGCACGCGTTAACGGTAAGCGTTACTGAAGTACATAGCTGCCTGTTATACATCACTTATATGATAACGAAAGGTCTCTATCTTGTCGACAGCAACGCAGAAGTAAGCGTTCTTCTCGCGAATTCTATCGACCGTCTGCATGCAACAGTCTCGACTTACAGGCGACAAACGGGAAACCAATCGTCACGTAGGATAAGATATATATTCATCTTATCGTGGGTTTACTCAAATCCGTTCACTAGATGTTTTTCTTACCATTCGCCGGCAAAGACATATTACAACACCACATTCTGCTCGTCGAACCGAGTAGATGGGGATTAATAGACAGGAATACGAAGTTATCTGTTTGTGTGACATGATTTTCGAATTGTAGATTATCCGCGGTTATGCATGAAATTGATCCGTACATCCAACGTAAACTAAACAAGTACCTCGAACTTACGAAAGGCGACTAAAATCAGAGTGCGTCACCCGCAGCGTTACACACCACATCACGACTTCAGGACTACTTGGACTATTGAAAGTTCCCCCATTAGCTCTAAAAAACTGAGGTTGGCCGAAAACGAATTAGACAACATAAAAGATTTGGGAAATATTCGATTAACAAACGGCTCATGAGTATCTTCCTTGCACATGACCTTATAAAAGGACGGAGACTATTGACTTCGGGCTTGAGACTGTTGTTAACTTAGTGAGAAAACCACTCCTGATCGCTGCTCTGTCCCCGACATCCATGAACTAATCGGTAGCTTAAAAGATACAACTGCTTTCTCGAAAATCGATAAAAAAAGATGGACCCCAGCACTTTTATTCGAAATCCCACCTTTCTTCTTCTTGTTTCTCTTTTCTTTGCACATAATGGATGTTTTCGGATTCATTATCAGACCTTAGATTACTACTCAAATTACAAACAAAATATGTATACAAAACCAGTGAAAATGATAAAACCCTCACTAGAATGGCGCTTCATTGGTAATTTTTGTTTTCGAAAAGCATTGTGAATAATGGTTCCTTGGAGTTTATGTATCACGAATACTTATTTTATTTTGTTTGAACTTTTGGATTCAGAATATTTTGGCTGCGCTACTATTTCAGTTTCTAATCAGATTTCGTCACGAATATGAATAACAGGCGTAGTTCATCGTTTAAAGAAATAAGTATAGTTCAAGATGCAAAAAATCTGAGGGATTCATTTAACAGAAACTTACATTTTTACGTCGTCAAAGATCGTAACATTGCTACAATGCGTGATTTTTATGTTGCTCTGGCTAGGACTGTCTGGGAACAATTATGTTCTCGTTGGATAAAAACACAGGAAGTTTATGCCACAGAAGATCCAAAAGTAAGATTGTCTTTGCATGTGTTTATTCATGCGCTTATTCTGTCAAGCTATCTAGATATGTTGTCGAGTAAGGATGCATATGCGAGAATATCAATAGACAAATACTCTCGTATCATGTGATGATTCAGTAGTCATTTCTACCTAGTTCTTTGAGTTCAAACTTATGTAACGATTCAATATATTTTTTACCAAAAAACTGAAGCAGTCTATCAGTCATCAATAATTTAGCCTAGTGAGGATTTTTAAGATCGTATTTTTGATAGTTGTTTGGTAAAATATCATATGTAAGAATCAAAGTGTGTAGCTGTGTTATATTTGAAAATACTGTTAGTGAAAAGATTGAATGGGTAGTGAAGGCGCGACACGTGTTCCTGAATTTCAGAATAAAATAGTATTAGCTTTGTAAGGAATGTGTTTTACTAGCATCCAAACATTCTCAGCAAGTGGACTCAGAAGTTGGAGCTACAATGCATATTTTTTTTCTTAACTCATTTTTAGTGTGTCAGTAAGTGTAACTTAACTTACTAGTATTGAGAGTGGGATATGTTTTTCAACACTTCAGGCTGGTCGGCGATCTATGCTCCACTGGGAGTAACAGGCTCAATTTCTTATTACTAAGTTCAGACAAACAAATCTACTATTCCGGTCAATAAATAATTAACTCCACCCCAGATACATCTAGCTTCCTCTTTTGTATATTATTATTAGAGTGAATCTTTAATTTGTTTTAACTAACAAACTGTTGTAGATAGTATTTATATAATTCACTTAGCTTTTCAGATTTGTGTAGTAAGGACAGAAGGCCTACGGCCCATGTTATTTCTTTTCTAGTATGCTTCTGTGAGTGTCCAGTCTTCTCTTGAAAGAGTCGGTTGAAGGTGCGGACACCACTGCTTCGGGCAGCAGGTCCCAAGTATTGATGACTCGGTGTGTAGTAAGGACAGAAGGCCTACAGTCTATGTTATTTCTTTCCTAGTATGCTTCCATGAGCGTCTGATTTTCTTGAACGAGTCATTTAAATGTGCAGACACCACTGGTTTGGCTAATAGGTCCCAAGAATTGATGATTCGGTATGAAAACCTGTATGACACGGGTATTTTGCTCGTTCTTGGCTTTTCTACTCGCCTGTTGTATCCTTTGATATGTCCAGATCTTGCGGGAAGAGGAAAAGAGGATATATTAGGTCCAAAATCATTTCTTAGTATCCTATACATCAGAATCAGATCACCTGTTAATCTTAAGTATGACAGAGTAAAGAGGTCTAACTTTCCAAGTCACTCATTGTATGGCAAACTCCTAGGTTCCGGAATTGCACGCGTAGCTGCCTTCGGTACTTTTTTTAAGATATCCGAGTCACCCGTTAAACAGGGGCTTGCAGCCTAAACGCAGTTCTCAAGTTTAGTTCTCACTAAGGTTGTGTATACTGTAATGAACGTGGTAGTATCTAACTTGGTGAATGTCCGTCTTGAACTCTATTGGGTTCTAAACCCCTTAGCTGCAACGTCGTATCAGTGGACCGTGGTCTTAAAATATATGACTCACTGTAACCTCAAGAGACCAGACCACGGGTACAGGCTCGTAAGTAAACTGGAAATGACCAGTTTTCCTCCTGGGGATTATCAAGTTAACCTAAATTATGTGTAGGGCACAAACTTGCTTAGCAGTTATGTCAAGGAAATGGACGTTTTTAATACTATACCAAATATGAAGCATAATATACTTTGAAACGACCTTACGTAATGCGTCTAATCCAGTACTTTGGACGTGTTTCTGTATTTACCCCTTAAATTCAAAGAGAAATGTAAATTACCGCATTCTTAAAAGCTTTTCACCACCGGCATACGATTCCTGGATATCGTGCAGGCAAGACGTCTGTTTTGTTATCAAGAGGCGAGTGTGCCTCACTGCAGTTTACTTTGTTTCACTTCATGATTCTGAAATATGGTGTTTTAGTCGGTCAATCACATGTACCTTGATCCGGTATGTCACAGAACATTAGCATACTAAGATGAAATTACTAAATTGAATAGCTAAGGAATCTAAATAATGCGGAAGGTTTGGCGATATTAAAGACTAAAAACTGAGCACCTGGTTCCAAAAAAGAAAATGAAAAAAACATTTGTTCAGGAATTCGTGATTTTGAGGTCTAGGGAAAGGTAAAAGGTGAATTTATCTGCACCATTTTTAGCTGATTCCCAATCATGTCACATAACACCAACAACGGATCGCGCTGACCCCAGCCAAGTGTTTTGGATCTACCAACATGATTCTGTAGTGTGGCGTCGAGTCGCGGTTGACTATGATCACCACTACAAAAAGATTACGTACCAGTTAACCGATAGGATCCCCCGTAGGTCAAATATCAGAAGGCAGTAGATGGCTGTAGTCGAGATGTATTTGTTGGCGATCTCGTGGTATCGAAAGAATACCGAAATCATGCCAGGTTACAAGTGTAGTTACTGAGCGTAACCGGATTCGTTCAAAATCACAATCAACAGAAAAATGTATGTATTTTGGCACAGTTAAACAAACAAGTACGGTAAAACAATCCCTAGTACAATTGGTTATAATAATAATTGTTTCTATTACACCAATCGCGTTCTCTTGATAAAATTAGGTCACTACAACTCTGCCAACGTTTAATGGACTCATATACTCATGGCATATTTTATTTTCGACACTACTAGGGATTAAATAAATTACTCATACACCAGCAAACACCGCCCTTTGAGGTAGGCAATGGTTGGTCATATGTAATACATGTTCCGACCATCTCTGTTGACGAATAATCATGACCTCACCAACTGATCCGCTATTTTCATCTCTTACCATAATTGTGGGTAATGCTTCAAAAACATGCATCTTATGCATGTCCTCTACTTTCACAGCCCATGTTTTACAGTCACAAAATAGTACGGAAAGGCCTTGACCTCACTATACTAGCCCGTTTTTTGGCAGACGGGCATCTCATGTACGTCAAAAGTAACGTAATTTGACAGAATACAAACAGGCTTTCTGAATCTGCATCAAGATCCTAACTAGGATAGTAATAGGTCTGAAAAACTCTAGAGGTGGGGAGACTAAGACATAATTTCGGTTGATCGTGTAACTGACTTAGTCTGGGCCGTTTCAGTGGTAGTATACTCCCTAGTTAAAATCTGTTTGAGGGCTTGTGGTTAAAAACTGGTAATATGGAACGGCATCAACCTCAATACCACAGTTACATTCATTCTTCGTCTTCTTATAAATTGCAAGTTTATTGTCATTTGACACTTCATCGTTTGATTTTATTTGTCCCTTTTAAACTAAATATTTGTGTTTAGTTTTTGTTGCAGTGAAACTTGTTTTCTCTACTCTGTTTTTAATCTTGTTAATCTTCCATTAAGCTAATCCAGAGTGTGGAAGCTTGGATCAACGCATATTTATTCCAGCTCATAAGCTTACGATAACTAACTAGATACTCTCATTGTTTAAGCGATTTGTGTAAGTTAAGGATGTTTGAGAAACTTTGAAAATATGATGTACTTCATTGATAATTTTGAAAAAATTACAAGTTAAGGAATTCCATATATCCATTAAGATATGGTCAGGCCTAGTTAAAGAATACAATATTTTGATACGAAATTATACATGCTGAATAATCTTATGTAACTGAGATATTAACAGTTTTGAGTTACTATGAATGAAATACGGTTTGACCGTTCACATACGTTATGACAAATGTCCATATTTTAGTATTAGTGAATTCATAGGTTTTTATTTTATACAATTAAACGTTTCTAATCATCATTCAGCGAACAACATGATCATGTGGATACAATCATTAAATTATAACTGGTACAGGAAGTTAGTGTTGATGTGTTAGTTCAGTAACAAACGCATATTATGCAAAATGAGTGTGAAAAATAGTATAATTTAGATAACTATACATTTTTTATCACTTCAGTTTGTGGAAACGGAATAATTTTGTCAAGGTCAACATAGAACAGGACTCTATTAATTTCATTGTACACATTTCCAAGTTTATGGCCTTGATCAAACAAGTGAAGTAAATGACAGGGTGTGCAACTGTCAGTTTGATTAAAATCCGAGACGCTTTTTTAGGTGTGTTTTAGCTGTGATTAGGGATAGCCTTATTTATCGCTTTGAATGTTTAGTAATTTTGAATAATAACCACTTCAAACTAGGATTGTCTCTTCCTTTTCTAATAAGTTTCTGGACTGGTCTATCAGTAGAACAGAAAGGACGGTTAATTAGTTCTTTTGTTTCTGACGTGCGAAAGTATTTTAAATGCTTTTGCAGGATTAGACTCATGAAAACAAGATTGATTTTTGTTAGGATCGAAGGACTAAAGTGATTAGCTTTCGTTGGTAAATGAGCTCGAGACAAATAACCTATTGTTGTTTGGTAATATGTGTTGATCTTTTTTTTGTAACTGATATCGGAATTCAGAATTTACATTTCAGATTGTATACTAGCAAATGTAATGAAGCGCTTTACTTTGTAAATTCCTTTTGTAGATTAGTATCCTCAATAATGAGACTTAGTTTTATGACTTTCTGATTGATTTGTTTGGTTAATAAAAGTAAAAGTAAAATAAGTAAGTGAGGAGCTGAAAGTATTTTTAGCCATTTTATAATATTTTTTGGAAGACAAACTGTAATTCTCAAGATAAATGGAGTATGTGCATGTTTGCTTCCTAAACGTCCGTCGGTAAGTATAATCCGAGAAATGTTGGATCTAAATCACAAATATGATGAGAAAGAGTATTTTATTGACTCAAGAATACATTTTAGTTACATATTTTATTCTGATCTTGACATATTAGTCTAAAATATTAAATACAGAAGTTTATGTGAATTAAACCATCTATCTATTGGAATACCGACTAAATAAACTTCATAATAGCTTGAATTTTATTTATAAATCAAATAATAATAAGAATGATAGCAAACTGGATTTTATAGTTTATACTCTGTAAATCTTGGGAGACGTATACACTTGCATTTAGTTTTTTCTCTTACTGATCATGCTAATTAGTTCTTTTGTAGATACCTATATATATATATATGGAGGGAGATTTAGAGAAAAATCTAATTTGTGAACCTGTAATGAAAAAAGTATTATCAACTTTTATATTCTAGATGGTCTACTTTTTATCCATGGAATTTTTTATGGGTCGTACACTGAAGAATACAATGCTTAACGTAGACACAGCAGAAGCTCTGGATGAAGCAATGTATCAAGTGAGTAACAGGCATAAAAACATGATTTATTTCACGAAAGTAAATTCACTACCAGAATGCTTTGGGTTTTGATATCCAAGTGCCAGCGAAACTAGACGTATTCTATGGTCTATACCTACAATTAAAACTTTAAGTGGATCCCGATTGTACTAATGCTTATCTTAGAAATAATTAGGCTTTTCGTACTACCTTGCCTCAAAAGAATATACTTTTAAGAATGAAATAGCTAATATAATTGAACATAACATAAACGGAGTATCTTGAATTAGTCATAAATCTCTGTAAATTCCGAAAACAAGCCACAATCATGTCCCACTTCTAGACTTTAATCGGTAGTAATCACGACGTATCCTGGTCGTACTTCGTAATAGCATGTCTGATTAAGTCAACTATTTCTATAGTTTTATTGATATTCAAAATTAAACTTGTAGAGGCTTAAGATTTCAACCTAGATGTACCTGAAATTATTGTGAGTGATGGTCAGTCTATAACGCGAATTCACTGAAACTGGTAAATATGGATAGTTGAATTATGAACAATTTACTCATTGGTATAACTAGTCACACAATGAGAAACAGTTGTCCAGTGCTTGCTGGGTTTCATTCATCGTTTTTGTCATTTTTACAAATTAATAAAATCAATATTCATGTTAATCGATTTCTTACATACTATTTATTGGAAATGTATTATAAACATGTACAATTTTACTATAGGTCTTTTAGACAAATATGTGTTGATAAATTTGACCGTAGATTAATGTGTAGTTTAATAGGTCTAAAGATAATCTAATTTATTATATGTTTAAGTCTTTGACACAAAGAATTGTTTTACATAAAATAATCTGTCAGATGGGTAGGAAAACCATAAACTAATTCTATGCGCTATTTATGTAAGAATGAGTCATTAACAACAGTAAAATCAGACAAGTTTAATAGGATCAGCACTATTATTATTGAAAGAGAAATCGTTCAATCCAATATTTTTTTTGTTTTTGAAGAGAAATGAACTTATTTAATGATTTTCAAGTTAGACCTAATTTTGATTGAGGTCAAAAGTAGCAAAATACTCTACTGGATCATCGTAAACAAAAATAAACCGCAAATGGGGTTTCGTGGAGATTGTAGTAATTTAATAGTTGAATTCATGAGTCGATTAAAGCTAGACCACCATGAAAAACCCGGAAGCACTGGACGGTCGTTTCGTCCTAGTATGGGACTCTAGCAGTGCGCATCCTCGATCCCGCCAGCGGGATTCTAATCCAGGGTCTTCGGTTTCGCGCATGAATGCCTAACCTCTAGACCACGGAGACGGCATCCAACGGTTTTAATGTCTAAATTACTTTGGATATTTTTTGACTTCAGAAGTGAAAAAAATATCTGACAGTTAAACTGAAATTCGTCAACATATACAGAGAAATTGTAATATTTGGATACAGTTAATATACTTCACATATTTAATTGAAGTGTCTAAGTTTCGAGTCGATAGTTAAGTTTTCAGTATGTGGTTGTGGAGATTGTTGAGTTGCATTGAAATCATGAACCAACCACCTAGGTTCGACCACCATCGAAAACCTGGAAGCACTGGACGGTTGCTTCGTTCTGCTATGGGACTCCTCAGAAGTACGCATCCACAGTCCATCACGTGAGACTCGAACACTAGACCTTCGCTTTCGCGCGTGAACGCCTAACTACTAGACCACTTAGTTGTCGTTCAACGGTGTTAATGTTTAACTTCAGTCATCCCTTGACATTATCTTAGTCGAGAGTCAAGAATATTCCTGAGCTCTCGTAACTATGTACCAGCATAGTGTGGAAAATGAGACAACAAATCTATTAATAGTGCCTTTCTTTATAGCCTAGTGGATAGTGATCACTATATCAAAGTAGAAGCCTTCTCTGCCTTATATCGAGTCTCAAGAAATCTACTAGTAGGAGTAAGATTACTCCTCCTCTACATAGGTGAAGCCGTAGGGATTGCATCCAGAAAAATTAATGAAGATTTCTAGACTCGGTATACTTAGCCCCCTTGTTCATTATGGCTCAGGATTCGGACATCTAATCAAATCTCATGTTTATTTCTGCACTGCCCCATTATTAATTTCATGTCCATCTTTCTCAATTGATATGCAATTTTTATCATTATTATCGTAATTATCCTGGAAACATTTCTCCTATTATATATTATCTTCGCACGAAGTTTATTATTATTATTATTACTATTATTATTGTTATTATTATCATTATTATTACTATGACTAGTACTATAATCATCATTAGCATTGTATCATCTAATCACAATGTATGGTTTATGTTGGCCATTGTAATAGAACTATTATAGAATGATAGCTGTTCTTATAGATACTACTTATCAATTAGACATGAGGATATGTTCATAAAATTCACTTTTTATCTGATGTGAGATTCAATAAAGAGAAAATGTACCAATCATATCTAATACACTTGTTACTAGATTGAGATTGTTTATTATGTAATTCTATGTTCACTTGAGAATAGTTTCAATGTATTAAATTACTGTTCGGTTTAGCGAACTATTTTTGCACACTTATGAGGGGATATTGTTTAGTTAAGAAAAAAGCACACTCAAGTTAATGGTGTTGAAGAAAGATTTTCACTGAAAGCACTTCACCTAAATATATCAATATCTCGAAAACACCGACCCATAATGGATAAGCTAACAAAGGAGTATTTATGCAAATGAAAGTACCTGACAGGGAAAGTAAAGATTGTCACTAAATGAGATAATAAAAATATCCTTCATAAACTTTGTTATGTTTTTAGAATGTAATACCATATTTAAGTGAAACTTCTGTGGTAGCTTACAATGGAATTCATAATGCACGTTTCGTACTATTCGAGATACATCAGCTTGGTGCGCTTGAATCCGTGTTGATATTCATACCGGGACTCGAACCCAGTACCTATCGGAGCACTCAGCTAGCGATACACCTGTGTCAAAGAAACTGATCAATTTCAGTTCATAACACTAACAAATAAAAGATCAAAGCCTTTATAAGTGAAAATAATATCATTATATTTAAAATAGAAGACCAGCAAAACACACCAACATGTTATATTCAGTATTCTCAAAATTACCCGCCTGTTGAATTCGGAAAGCATGTTTGTAATTGCTTAGAGTTGACTTAGAAATATGCATTCTTAGATGGACAGGTTTATCATCATTCCTAGTTTGTCGTTTATTTAGACAATGTTGAATTTGACACTGATGTTGTTGAATAAGCATGCACTAATTTAGTTAAGCAAGATTATGAGTTACATGTTAGTTGATATGGTTACCAGTAAACTGAGCATCTGATTTGCTCACAGAGTGTCACTTTTTATAGATGATCAGACTGCCTACTTACGAGTAGCTAAAAGTTACGATGTTTGGTAATTATTCTAACGTAAACAGTTTAAGCTAAATGGTTGCGTAACCGATCTCTATTTTCCACTTTGTTTCAAGGGAGTAGATTTATCCATCTTTTGGTTCTGAATTTTTTTATCTTTGTTGCTCAGCACAAATACATAAAAATAATTACAGTATGCTAGATAGAATCACAATATGAAGGTAGAGCACACTTAGTGTCCTTGATCACTATAATAATCCTTTTTAGATATCTGTGTCACCAACCTAACCACGCAAATGCAAACTACGGTCTTCGTTAACTGAACTTCTCTCGGTTGTCAGTAAAGCATGACACAAGTTTGGAATGATATCATGAATGGTACAATGGTAAACCATCATTGAAAACCTGGAAGCATTGTATGGCCGTTTCGTCCTGGTATGAAACACCTCAATAGTGCGCATCTACCATCCCTCACACGAGACTGGAACTCAGGACCTTCGGTCTCGCGCACAAGTATTAAACATTTTACTTTCAATTGTCTATAAAAACTACATATTAATTCATTCCACTAACTTAACAAATATCACCATTGGTAATAATAATGATAATAATAATAATAGTAATAATAATAATCTCGATCCTGTTTCTCTGGTTAGAGGTAAATAGCAGAAACGTTTACATTTATTCAGTGTCTTACAATCTGATTATTTGTATAGGCATTCTGCATGTTTATTAGATCATTACAAAGTCGATTTTCAAATGAATCTCATCAAGAATTTAACAGTAGTGGAGTAGTGAGTTCTTTGTATGATAGCAAAGTGTATATATGAGGCAACTAAAGTGCTCGATAAAGTAGAACATTCTAGTGTTTTGGTATCTTTGATCTTTCGTAATATGGTACATCAAATATGAGCACTTTTCTAACCTATTGGTAATTACTGCGCGAAAATTCAATGACTTTTTATTTCAGTAATGATCGCTCATTTATTCTAGCTTGGTTTGGATATTGAAGAATTAGAAGAAATGGAATGCGATGCAGGACTTGGCAATGGTGGTTTGGGTCGACTGGCTGCATGTTTTCTTGACTCAATGGCTACAATTGGTTTAGCAGCTTATGGTTACGGAATACGTTATGAAAATGGCGCTTTTCATCAGGTGATAAAGGATGGATGGCAGGTAAGAATTTTAGAAATAAACCTATTTCTTAAACTGCTCTTTGAAATATCTCATTATATTTTAAAAAGTTATAATCAATTGGCACACTTCTTTTAAAATTATAGGTTGAAGAACCGGATGAATGGTTACTTTATGGTAATCCTTGGGAGAAAGAACGCCCTGAATTCACTCGCATAGTTCAGTTTTACGGTAGAGTTATGCGCAATCATTTAGATCAATGTAAATGGGTTGACACAGAAACAATATGTGCCCTACCTTATGAAGTTCCTATACCTGGATATCGTAATCAGACATGTAATACGCTTAGATTATGGTCCGCTAAGGGCAGGAAATACTTTGATACGAAAATTATTCATAACAATGATTATATAAATGTAAGTTACCAACAGAATATTTTTGACTTATTGTCTGCATTTTACGAATTTACAAAAATTCACCACTCATTTGTGGCTAACTTCTGGATAGATTGCTGAAATTCTGGGGAGAAGTTTTTACCGATAAGACTCAACCCTTATCGGAGTTAATAGAGTCATCTATAATAACAATGAGTGATGGTCTCACAGTGTTGTGAATTATCTGAAATGGAACATGTCAACGATTAAGCACCATTTCATTAGTTCAAAGGTAATCCCTTCATAATAAGGCTCAGAAACCTCAAATTCCGGACTTAGTGAAATCTTAAGTAGAAGCTACTGAGAAGCTCGATACTAAGATGAAATAAATGTTCACTGCCTCCTGTTTTTCAGCGGTTATGTAGCTAAATTCAGTCCATGATATTAGACTAAATTTATTGTACACTAATCGTTTTGGTCCATATAGTTAACTGTTTACTTTTTGAACTACATCATTATAATGTTTTTAGCATATTTCGGTTACTAGCTTTTTCAGAACAGCTTGCTTATTTAATAGTCGCTTGCTTTAATTTTTTTGCAAATCCACTATTTTACACTGTATTAGCAGTAAAGTTGTTCTGGTTTCAATTAACACCATTTGATTATCATATTGATTATTTTGGAATAGAAGATAACAGAAAAAAGTGACAATTTAAACACAGAGAATACTAGAGGGAAGGATTATTTTCATAATAACTTCATCATCAGGTTGACTGACTGACTCTACAGTTATAAGTTCATAATTATTGTATTACAATGGCAAAAATATGGAGTTTATTTATGCTTGTCGTACGTAGTTTAGTAATATGCTAATTGGATGGTATTTTTACGATTATCATACAGTTACTTAGTATAATTGTATCAATCATTTTCATTTCAAACTGATTTGTTTAACCTCAAATAGGCGTTATTGTTTTGATCATTTTGATCTTGCAAATGGAAATCAGTCCATTGAAATACATTTTTAAAATCAAACAATTGTCAAAAATATTCATTTATATTACGTGTTTGATACTTGATGAGCGATTATCCTGACTTCTTTGTATTCGAACCAAAACAGTTTGACTACAATACCAAGTAGCATTCAACTAATGATTAAAGAAGTTTTTCGTTTTAATCATTGTACGAGAAAATAGATTATTTAAGATTAAATGCTACGTTTGCAAACACCCACCTGTTGTTTCTGAAGAATTTTCAGGCCTGTTGTTAGCCTATGTCAAATAAAGCAAACAAAACAGACACGTCTCTTAGTTTGCAAAATTATTGGAAGTTCTGACCCGTCAAACATGTGTCTTTAAAAATTTCAATTCGAAATTCTGATATTAAAATCTGCCTTATACCAGCATTTAAATCTTTGAGTTGTATGCAACGTAGAATCTGTTACATGTATGCATTAGTTAACATTGCCACACTTCATTGGCACAGCGAGCTCCCAGAGTAGTAGAAGTAGTAACATTATTAGTGGTAGCAGAAAAGAATAGGGAAAGCAGATATAGTTCAAGAATAATATTTGGAATTGTGGAATAAAAATAACTATGATATGATTTAGAAAGTCAAGATTTAAGGGAAAACAAAGAGTGAATGCACCGGCTGCATTGGGAAAGATTCTGAGTCATAATACCCAAAGTCCCTTACCTTTGGTTAAGAAAATCTCGCGGAATCCAATTAGTTGGTAGTCACCTACCTACTTGGTCTGTTCTAATTGACACTGATTTCATTGAATGATGTCATGGCTTGGTTAGGGTGCCCTTGACTTTTATAACGTACGTATACACCAGATAACATCATTCATCAAGGCAGGCGGTAGTTGGGCATACGTAATACAACGTTTAAATGACTAATTTTTATCAAGTATACGCTACAAATCTTCCGTTCTAACTTAACCATTTTTTCGAATAAGAGGACAGTTTAAACTTTTGAATATTTTCGCTTGTATAATAATTATTTATTACTTTGATATAGGCTACTTCGATTTCTGTAAATAAATTCTGTATTGTTGAAGTTATCATTTTACCACAAAATGACACATCTCTTCTTTGTTTCCTCTCACTTTTATGTTTATGAATGAATGTATCCACGGTAAATAAGGTGCTGTTCATATTCTCTCGTAACTTATCTTTTTCTTCATTATCTATGCAGCCAATAAGAATTCTTCGTTATCATCCATTTTTGTGGCATCAATGTAACACTGAACAGTAAACTGTTTTGCCACAATCGATCTACAAAAAACAGCATAAATTCATGTATTGTTTTGTTAATTTAGGCTTGCTCTGTTCTATTTTTTTAATCCTTGGTAAATAACACATTTTGTCATGTATTTACTTGTCGTAAAGTCTTTAATTCACAATGTTTTTGCAATAATAAAGCCTAATTTAAAGTAAACTAGTATATTCAAAGTGATAATTCTCTTCGTTTTTTAAAAATCTTAACAATCAGGCTATACTTGGCCGTAATGAAGCTGAAAATATTTCTCGTGTTCTTTATCCAATTGAAAGTGCATTCGAAGGTAAAGAATTGCAATTAAAACAGGAATACTTTCTTGTATCCGCTACATTACAAGTAAGCTGAAACGTTTATCTATCATCCATGATTTCATCTGTGGTTATTTATAATATGATCTATTTTAGCCATTCGATAATAACTGCGACTAATCGATTTAAACAGTTGATCACCTTAACATAAACATCAAACACAATTTACAGTTGATTGATCATTAGGTAGTGATCAGTGTTACGTGTGTCATGTTATTCTTAGTGCAGATCGAATTCTATCAACCAAGTTGCAATGTAGTCACTGGTCTAGGTGACTTGACATCGCGTGCTCGAAACCTAGGTTCAAGACTTCCTGTTGACTACCTCAGACCACCATTTCACTAAACACAATGAATAAACAATTGTTCAAACAGTTTTATGGGTCTTTTTGGGGGGTGGGGTAGACGGAGAATAGTGAGGATACTTTTAGTTTAGAGTGTGAATCGCTTTCAACAGAGAAAGATATATATAAATCATGTGATCAAGTTTAAAAGTAAATGCTCATATCGAACCACACAAAAAACATGATGAAACTATGGTGTGTAAGGTAATTTTGTTATAATATTAAATAATTTCATCTTATTCGTATTAATTAAGTGCCACTCATATTACTAAATAGTGAAAGAAAACTGTATTACTATATCTTAAAAGTTCTCAATTCATTTACTTTATGAATTTCATACTGAGTAAAATATAACCTAACAAAATATTTTTATGTTTATATCATAACGAAAGTTTTTTTATTATAATCAGTATAGGGTTGTGGAGATTGTTAAGTTTAGATTGGTATCATGAGTAGACCAATATTAGACCAACATTGAAAACCTGGAAGCACCGGACGTCTTTTACGTCTTAGTATGGGACTTTCACGATCCTGCACGTGGGATTCGAACACAGGGTTTTAGGTCTCGTGCGCCGATACTTAACCTCTAGACCACCGAGTTTACATCCAATGGTGTTAATGTCTAACTTCAGCCAATCCACGATATTACACGATCGTCCACCATGGTCTTCAGTGAGCAACTGCCTTACAACAGACACAGTTGAACTTCACACGCGAGACCGAAGGCTCTGGGTTCGAGTCCTCTTGAGGGATCGTGGATGGATCCCTATACTGGGACGAGACGGCCGTCCGAAGCTTCCAGGTTTTCAATGGTGGTCTAACATCAATCAGTTCATGATCCCAATCAAAAACTTAATAATCTCGACAACCCCATACTGATGAATTCTTAACGTTGAGTATTCATGACCGTACGTCAAACTGAATTCACAAAGTTTGGTGTTCTATGGAAAAATTTTCTTGGATTAAATCAGTCATCCCAAATCACATCACTGAACAAGAACATATCGTTTATAAGCATTCTTGATATCAATCTTAACTTTATTATATAATTTATATTTTTGTTTGAATAATTAATATAAAATTCTCATTGTTATTTTGTTTTATTTTGTAATTAACCAAAAAAGGATATACTGTATCAGTTTAAATCATCTTATCCAACTTATGAACTATTTGAATTACCAAATAAAGTTGTAATTCATATCAATGATACACATCCAGCATTAGCTATTCCTGAACTATTGAGGATTCTAGTTGATATAGAGTGTATGGATTGGATTGATGTAAGTAATAAAAGTTTGGTAATCAGTCTAAGTATTTTAAATAATAATCGATATCATACATATATTTAGGAATTTATGGTCAGTCACGTAAACTATTAGATACCGTATTAGTGGTCTGAAATTTCGGCTCTTACTTTGGAACCTGAAAGTCTTGGGTTCGATTCATAGTAGGATCATGGATACTCACTGTGAAGGTGTCCTATGCTAGGACGAAACAACTGTCTAGTGCTTTTTGGTTGTCGGACTAATGTCAGTTTTGTGAAGCTAACTATTGTATTTTAAATGCACTGTCAGTCTTACATGATTTTTTATAAAACAAATTCTGCTTAAAACTGTCTAACTCATAGAAATCAGCATAATCTCAAGACTATTTTTGATCTACAAATCTTTTTCCATTATTGTAACTTGTGTACTGATTACACGTGGAAATATTATTAACATTGTGTAGTACACATAAAAATTTTTAAGTATTATATTCATATTTTTTATTTTATTAATAGCTCGTCATGTTATTCTTACTCTAGAATTAACTGTGTTTAATTAAATAAATAGTATCATAAACTGCATATGATGGGTGTTTACTTCTGTATGATTTAGTTTGTCCTTCAGATATAATACTAGAACTGTAAACGCGATACTGGCGCTCCCAGAGTCTATGTGAAAGCTGTAATCTGAACACGGACAACTTGGCTTTAAACTTTGTTTCTAAACGTAAAAACAATTAGATTAGTACAATAATTAAAGGAATTATAGTCAATAAGTGAAACGCGTAAACATACCCACCAGTATTTCGTGTCTTGCCGAAATGAACAAAAATTATGAGTTACACTAATATAACTGGCAGGTCGCATGCAACAAGAATATTCTACAGACACATCATACCAGATTGACGTGGTGCAAGCTTAAGCAACGATTTGATTGGTTAGTTATAGACATAACTAACAACCTTCTTGTTTAATTTCAAGCTCGTTTAATTATTACCTAGCTGAACTTTCAGTTTTAAGTTTATAACATACTACATATAAGAAGATATCTAAGAAAATTTCAATGATTCCAAAACGAATATGGATTTGACTAGAATAGTATTGATTGACTAGACAATATTTGTTTTTAATAACAGAATAATAAGTTACATTCGAAGGATGTATACGAGGAAAATTCATTCAATTTAACTTCAGTTAACCTCGTAGTTTATTACGTCTTGATGACCAACATAATAGTGTAATGACGATTATGAATCGCTATGCTTCATTCTTTTTTTTCAAAAAACGGTCTCTGTACTACCATCACGGAAATAATAGGAGTTATACTTAAAATATTGTTAGAATTAATTGTACTCGATACTGGAGATAAATTTTCTATTGTCTTTCTACTCAGGACTTTTGTAAATTTCCAACTGGCTTTATTATTTCATATAATTCCCATTATCTATAAATTTAACTAACGCAGAAACAATGAACGGAGTAGAATAAAATGAATTCATTTTATTTCATGGTTTCTCATCAGCTACTTACAATTTAAACGTTATGATATTATTCACTAGAAATCGGTGTACATAGTTTACATTCATAATATCGAAGAAAGTTTTCATTAATTATTATTATTATTATATTTTTGGTACAATATAGAATTCTCAGCACAAAGTATTTCAGCGAGTTTCCGTTTCTTATTTCTTGATCGATATTGACGATAAATATTGAGTGATCGCTAGTTAGTTATTAGCATTTCAGAAGTCGATATCTGAATAATATTCATTCTTTTCAGCGAACATTTCCAACCATCACGATGTCTCCGATTGTAAATTTTTGTAACTTGTACAGTGAAAGGTTGTAAACTCTTCACAAATGCACCTGGATAGGTTATACAATTAATTAACATAATGATCTGCTAAAACAAACAAGGAAACAGATAACTTGTTGAAATATCTAGATGGGAGGAACAGGTAGCCCAGTTATTCAAGTAGGATGCCTCTGAGAGATTCATGTGGAGAGTAATAAGTATGGAAGAGCTATAACTGATGTTCATATGTTAAATAATAAGAATATTTCTTTGTTGAATATTTGAATATTCTAGAATGAATGAACTGGGGCAATTAGAAATAAAATATTTATGTTCAAGCTTTTTAATCCTTAAAGCATAATATAACATTTAAATTAGTATAGATCAAATGAGATGTGTGAATTAATAATAACTACTGTCATAGAAAGAAGAAATGATAGTATTGGCATAAAGTATGTACACTGATTTTTAATGATTAATACTATTATTTTTAGGTGGTAAGTAGTGGATTAGAAATTGTGAAATAAAATGAATTCATGCTCTTGTTTTGTTGCTATCTATTAACAGGACGAAATTACATGCTTTATTACATTTATCAGTACTGATTCTTTTCATCTATTTTACTCTAAAAGGCATGGGATATATGTTCACGTGTATTTACTCATACAAATCATGTATCACAAGTAGAATGTTTAAAGTATTGGCCATTAGATATGCTTCAACGTGTTCTACCTAGACATGTGGAAATTATACGCAATATCGATTATCATTTTAAAAGTGTAAGTTCAAATTTATTCAATGTAACTATTTTAGGGGGAAAATAATGTAACTCGTGGATTTATAAATATGGGTGTTTATTTATTGCCTCATGGGGAAACTCAACAAATTATGTCAGTTTTCTTTTTTAATTTTGAACTGTAAGTAATTAAAAACAAATACTTACATACGAAATTCCAAATCGCTAATGCTAAAAGACTAAACGGGAAATATTTTTAGAACTTAGATTCTGACAATAAAGTTTTTAATGTGTATCTGGCATCATTATGAAAATCCGACATGATTTTTTCAGTAGGACTTGACATTTCAATAAAAAATAACCAAGTTTCTTCAAATATTTACAATTAAAAAGCGGAAGAATATAAATTGTTGCATATAATAGTGAATATCATACTCTTCCCACTGTTTGTCCGTTATCGTGATTCAGTAATCTAGCCTATCACACTGAACGATGGGCACCAGGTTCGAATATCATTTTAAACATCACCACTAGGATTCAGGCAAATCCGGTTGGTGATCTCAAATAGAAAGGGATGCGTATTCAGGATTTCACTGCTATCCATAATCCAAATAATATAGTCAAATGTCAATTAGAGGAAATATCAAACGCTTTACTCAAGGAGCCTATATACCGACAGAGATTGCCTAAATTTAACCCTGGATATCAGCAACGGAAAATTACATACCCCACAAATAATGTTATAGGTATCATTTTTTGTTCGCTTCAGGGATCAAACACATTAGGATTGTATTAAAGCTTCTTATGATGATTTAAAAATAACATGGAAGTGAGTTGTTCGAAATAATTCATAACATTTATTGCTAAGATATCTCTACTTTACTTGTTTCCAACGTAGCATCGATAAAATATGAAGTTGTGTTCAAAGAATAGTGAATATATTCATAGACTAGATTTTTCTATTGTTCGACAATCAAAGTTGTATTCATAAATTGTCTTTGTTTATCTTTAGGCACTTAATCCTGGGTCATAATGATTAAAGGACTGAGGGAATATTTTACTCGATTGATTGTGATCTCAACTAAGATGTCCTATAATTAATTCAAATCAAAGAGTGGTTTGTAATTTCTTAAGAAATCCCTGCTGATTGTCAGCTTATACTTTAAAAAGAATTAAGCTATCAGGATTTCTATACAATTGTTTAAAATCTTTCTCCATCAAGATGGAATTTAATCTAGTGTTGTGCATAATTGTTTGGTCGCCATTTGGATACATTTTTTGATTGTCTTCTATCTTGATATGATCGCTTATCTTGAAGTTTTTTGTAATTTTTCCTGTCGGCGTGCAGATTACGTCCATTTGTCTGTGTTTTGTTTGTCCATTATTTCGATATCTTCCTAACTAAATGAAAAAAACCTCAAAGATCGCAACCACTTGGAATAATAATGGCATTTATAAGAATAGAGCGAAACTGTATGTAGTTCATGTAATAAAGGTGATATTTTGTTATTGATATTATGCATGAAACCGATTTATTTGTACAAAGGATTTCGTAACGCCAAACAAATTGATGGTTACTAAGTGAGCCATTTTCGGATTTTTACTTTTTTCCATCACGGCTACAAAAAGGCTGTTCGAATGTTTATATTAAAAACTTGACTGTTAAAAAACTGTTAGTATTCTTTATCATAGGTCATAAACAGAAGGTGGCCAAGTGACGAAAATCGATTCCAACGTATGTCGATATTTCAAGAGATCAATGAACCTGTTGTTAGTATGGACCATTTATGCATAATTGGATCACATTTTGTCAATGGTGTTTCAATTTTTCAAACGAACCATTTAGTAAATACCTTGTATGTTGAACTTTTATTTAGTATTTCATTTAGTATAACTGCGGTTAATTACGTTTTCAATGTTTTATAAGTGTTATGTCTAATGCATTCGGTAGTTTTGTTTCATTCATTTAATAAATGAGTATCAAATATTATAGATCTGTTTTTACCAGAGATTTCATCTCAAGCCTCAAATTTCGTTATGAGTGTTTTTTATTACCTGCGCAATCCATGAAGTCACTGACAAGTGAACTGGGTCATGTTGGTAGGTGTAGACTACCTGGTTGGGGACCGCGAGATGACAGCAACCGATGGTTAGAGACCCTGAATGACATGGCTCAAAATCGTTTGCAATGGCGCAGGTGCATCCACTCTCTGTGTTCTCCCAAATTCTAATCTTCTGAATTCTTCATGTCCCTTTTTTCCTCTTTCCAAATTTCTTTCACTGTATTATACTCTTTAAATAACATCTCCAAACCCTAATCTTCCCGATTACTGCTTATACTCTTATTACCTCTGCCACTACGGGATTTGAATCGACAACTGCATCTCTGTGCTAATGTGGTGTGGCAACTCGAACTGATGTACGTACGTACGAAGTTCTACGTTGTTACTGACTGACTGACTATTACCTGCGCCGCATAAACATATTCATTACAGAGAGTTGGAGATAACTCCAGACACTTAAAATAAAATGTTTAGTGAGATTTACTCCACATCATCCATTATTCAATCGCCAGAAAGCCTTAGCCCTTAATATTGGTTGTGTTTCTGATTGATCAACCGTATTTTGCTTTGGAATACATGAGTCATTTTATTAATTTACTTGTATGGTTATAACAGAAAATAGTCATTACTTATCAACGTATTCACGAAACGTGTTTATCAGTTATAGTAGGTCACATTTGTAGGTGAATGTTTTATGTACTAAACAAAAACAACTAGTCAGTTCTACACATGGGGTGATTAAAAACCGATATACAACCATTTATTTATTTTGTTCTGTTGATATTTCATGCAGAAAAATATCCAATTAACATAGACCTTAAGATAGTCTGTTAATTATTCAAATTTCTATGGTTTATACATATAACCGTATAAGGGATTCTAACCACATGGACGAAATGAGTTTCTCTGACTTCTCAGTACAAGTAATATACACTTTCAATGAAGGGTGATGAAACGGAAGATTATAAAGTGAATTTCAGTAAATAATTAGATATATTCCATTCTTTCATGCAGTTTAATATTTATTTATTTATTTGAACACATGAATATTGGTACAAGGGGGCAACAAATACATATGCGCCACAAAATAACAATGAAGTTGTGAAGAGATAGAGAATGTAAAGTGTGTACTATAATAAGAAGAGCAACGAACAGAAGTGAGTGTATGAGAGTGAAACAATAATGATAATAATGGGAGAAACAGTTCAGTCAAGAAAAATATAACCAGAAATTCTTTCAATTAAAGAAGTGACGTTCGCTTTCATAATAGAAGTAAAAGGAAGTTACAGCGGGACCGCCACTGGCTTCTATTTTGAGACATGTCTGATAACGTTTCTAACCACTGTTTCATATCATCTCTAGGACCCCAACCAGGGAATCGTGGAGGTCCAACACAAGGCAGTTCTGTATAGTTTTTTTTCATACCACGACACTATATCATGCACTGATCACCTCTCCACTTTTTCCAACCAGTCTCAGCATCTGCAAATAATGCACGACGTGGAATTGTCTGGGACGGCATTCGTAGAACACGTCCAAGTCACCGAAGTCGATGTTTCAAGATAGTGACACTAGTTGAATTATCGTCGCTGTACCCGAACACACAATGTTGAACCCTTGAATTACTAACATCGTGTTGCCACTGGATGTCAGCAATCCCCTGGCGATAACAGTGACTGTATGGCCTGGGTATCGTCGCACAGTAAGGCAATATCAGCCGCATACTCAGGGTCGAAAAGTCTTTCTCCGGGCAACAGATCCACACCACTATTACCTACATCTATCTACACTGTTTCCAGAACGTCATCGATAGCAAAGTTGAAGAGGAAAGGTGAGATTGGGCAACCCTGCCTAAATGGAACAATGGATAGAGGTGCTTGTATGTCTTCACTGTACCCGAGGTGTTTGTATACAGGGCTTTACAAGATCTGCTCAAAGAGGAAACTACTATGGAGGACAAGCCGAAAGGGATCAATGAAACACTAACCTCAGAGTGTCATGAGGTTCTGGAACACAACAAGCAATATCATAAGGAATGAATCCCTACCGAAATTCTGAACAGTATTCAAGAAAGGGAGAACAAGAAGATAGCAACTAACAACGATAAAACAAGAACAGAGCAAGTCAAGGCACTAGTTGAATACGCTGAACCAAACAAGAGGAGCATTAGAGATGACAAGCATTAATACGTGAAAGACCTAACAGCGACACAGGAAAATGATGCAAAACAAAGAAATATCAAACAACTATATAACACAACGAAGAAACTGACAAAAAATATAGTTAGTCAGAGGACCGGTGTCAGAGAAGACAGATTAATGTATCTCCTTCTTTATCTCTCTTTTGACGGTTGACTAGATTGTGATGAAGCACCGTATACAATGAACAGCTTGGGTGCAACCAGTTCACTTGATACTTCAAGTAACTCTTGCTGATAAGTTACTACTAGCTCAAAAATAAGTCTAGAGTGTCTTCTCGACTACGTCCAACTGCTTATCATAAACGGTTTTATAGAATATGAATAGAAAGAATTAGGAAATATTAATGTGCTTAATGTAGTTCTATGCATACTGAACTATCGAAACACAACTACTGAATTGAAACTATATTAATTACAGTTTTTGTTAAAACGAATTTTTTCTTTCGTTTTCTACCAAATGTAGTTATTGATGCTTGTAATATTATTTCTAGGTTACTATTCTGTGTTTCAAATTACTTTTCTTAGATTTAAGGATTTTGCCGATTTATGGCCATCGAAATTTACCAATAAAACAAATGGCATTAGTCCGAGACGTTGGTTATTGGTATGTAATCCAGGCCTAACCGATCTTATTCGAACCACCATACAATCTGACGATTGGGTAAAAAATCTTATAATGTTGAATCGATTGAAAGAAAAATTAAATGATGCAAATTTTCGAAATCGCCTTATATTAATTAAACAAGACAATAAAAATCGATTTGTTGCTTATATGCAACAGCATAGAAATATTCAATTAAATCCAAGTTCCATTTTTGATGTTCATGTACGTAAGTTAATAATATCATTGAAATAATACTATTTGAGTGCCAACTTAAAAATAGTTTTCTTTTATCGAAAAAAATTAGAGTTCACAAGTAGTTATAGATTTTGCGTGAAATGGATCAAGATCGATCACAATCATCTAGGTGCAAATACTCTTTGTCTTTCTTTAGATCTTGAAGTTTTTAAAACGTTTTATAGTGTTTTTTAATTCCACGAATCCACTTTTTCTCCTCAAATCATATATCTTATTCTTCATTTTTTATTGCTTCCGTTACTATTACCCGTTCTACCACTATTCCGGTAATTTCATCTCGCTATTCTGTGAAAACTTGAACCGATGCACACATTTATGTCCGGTTTCATTTGATTAACTGACTAACAAACGTAGTTATGTTGAGCAAGAGAAAGCTATAGCAAGTTATAGATACTGATTTTTTTTATTTATGTTTTAATAAAATCATAGGCTTTCATTGTTAAATATTACTTCTAAACCAAAAAATACTTCCTGGGATGGAGTATCAAGAGATGAACTATTCTAAACAAAATGACTATGTTCTAATGAGCTACAGCAATTGAATTAGTAAATAAATTTATAGATTTAGTGAAACTTGACGCTGTGTTTATTTTGTTAACTCATTATTAGTTTTTTTAAAAAGATGAGTGTCTTTCTTATGGTATTCCTTGAACTTTTTTATATGATCATAATAAACGTTTCCAGTAAACTAGTTTCAAACCAGGCATTTTCCAAGTACTGTCGATAACATCACTTTAGTTTTTGTTTCAAAGATATTTATTGTTAGGGACTATAATGAATGTGTATTTCTCCAAAGTAGTTATCCATTCGTTCTAGATTTCTTTTCAGTAAATTATTTCAGCTTTCTCAAACGAGTATTTAATTAAACTTTGTATAATTTATCGTGTAATTAAGCTCAAAAGATGGATATATTGTTCCAACGAGGTTGGTTTCCGGTAAACAACTCTTTTTGTTATTCCATCTGTTATTTGCCTAGTTTGGAAGAAGGATTACTTTTATGGAATTGCCCATAACTTTGCGATAAAAATCTGACATCGTATAATTCAATTAGTCCTTTTTTTAATAAAACCATTAACTCTAATTTCCTTGAAAAAGCTTGGACCAGATTGCCAGGCGAAACGTTGGATTTACTTCAAGTTCTTTCGCTGAGATTTTACAAATACATTCTTCCTCTTTAATGTCTCACATCAACTGGGCACCCAAATACTGTGAAACTATTCGATTAAAATTAGACGAAAGTTCGTATTTATTATTCTGCAATCGCATCAAATTATCGAAGAAAATGTACAATTGCCTTAATTCTAATGATGATAAACCAATAATAACTATTTCCACAAAGGCCTTTGTAGAGGTTTTTGAATTTCGTAGTCTAAACTGATCTTAGTAAAGCAATCATGAAAAACTATGACGTCCTGAACAGTTGTCTTGTTCTCATATGGAACTCCTCACTAGTGCATATCTACGACCCCACACACAGGAATGGGATCCAGGAACTAAAGTCTCGTGAGCGAACACTTAACCTCCAGACCATTGAACCGGTATCTAGTGGTATACACAAATCCCACCCATTATTTGAAGCACATAACTACTTCACATCTTACATGGTTGAACTCCAGTGGTCACGGCTTCACACTAAAGCTTCAGGAGCTGTGTCTTGAAGCTCATCACTAGTAAATTATTTCAAAAGCTTTTGTTTGAAGCCGTGACCAATGGAGTTCAACCATGTAAGATGTGTGGTGGTTATTTACTATCCGTTACGTAAATGTTTACCTAATTATTTCATGGCTAGTTCTTTTGATTCTGTTCTAAATAGATGTCTAAATACAAAATAATGATAATTTGTTACCGTTTACAGGCAAAACGCAAATTTTTTTAGCTAAATAATTAAGACCAAGTGCTCTTTTTTGTAGTGTTTATTTAGAGACTTTTCTTCCTTACTCAAATAACTATATCATTTAAATATTTACTCAAAATCTTTTCATTTTATCAAAAACAGGTAAAACGTGTTCTAGAATACAAGCGTCCACTCCTACCATGTTTATATGCTATAACTATGTATAACCGTTTAAGAGCAAATCCTGAAATGAAAATGTGTCCTAGAACAATTATTATTGGCGGTAAAGCTGCGCCTGGATACCACATGGCTAAAATGATTATAAAATTAATTAATTCAGTTGCAAGAATAATTGATTTCGATCCAATTACAACGGGTAAACTTAAAGTATGTTTAACCAGTTGTATTTTGAAATAAATATATTTTTACTTGCTTAAAATTAAAAAATAGGTTTATTAGTCACTGAAAAGCCAACTGTAATGAACCATTTTGAATGTTTTAAAAGATATCTTTAGACAGCATGTGTGCTACTTTTATTGACTTAAGTAGTATATGATGTTAATCATCAACAGAAGGTCTGGCAGCAGAGAGACAAGGGGATCGAATAGTAAAGAATGGGAACACAATGCAGTTTGTATGAAAATCAAGAACAATGAAGTCTGAGTCATTAAGAGACAATTGATGGACATTTTGCAAATTATGCGGCCTGCTTGAATACCTGGGCTACCTGTTTCTGCCATCTAATTATTTCAACAAGTTATCTGTTTTTTTATTTTGTTTTAACGTCTCATTATGTCCATTAATCGCATAACCTATACAGGCGCGTTTATGAAAAGCCTACGACCTTCCGGTGCACAAGTTACAAAAAAGTACTAGAAAAGACACCGTGATGGTTGGCAATATGTGTTAAAGAGAATGAATATTAATCGTATGTCGATTCTCGAGCTGCTAAATTCTAACTAACGATCACTAATCAACGAAGTGGACTATCTTCAATTCCTACTAAGTCAAAATATGTATCGTAACTGTGGTGTCATCACAATTCAAGAATCTTGGTTAAATGATTTACAGGCCGACCGCCCAGTATCACTACGTGATTTCAAAATTAATCGTCAGGATCGATCAAAAAATAAAAAGAGGTGTGGCGGCTGTGTAGCTACGTTTGTAAACGTGAACTGGTGTCGATCTTCGTTTGCGTGTTTGAAGTTTTCAAATGACTTTGTCGACTGTCTAACTCTAAGATGTCCAAAACATCTGAATAAATACAAATATGTTTATGTTACCAATATCTACGTGACTCCATACTGCACATCATCTGCGCTATCTGTTTTCGCTGATGAATTCACTGAGTTTGCTGTTACTGCCTTCAGTGATTCACTTTCAGTTGTATGTGGTGATTTCAATTCATGTGACTGTAGCTTCCTTAGGTCACTAGGTCACCAAAATGTAGTAGATTTTACCACTCGTTTGGATGCTCATTTAGACTTCGTTTTCATCAATGATGTGGGCATATATGTGACTCGTAAACGTGCTCCATTGTCTAGCTAAGATCACTGTATAATTCGTGTTCTACCTAAAGTATATGGAAAGCATGGGAAGAGTACACTCTTACATCAAACCAAGAAAGTGAAATATACGAATTACTCAGAGGAAAATATCCGAAATCTGAAAAACATGTTTCATACAACTAACTGGGAATTATTTACAGATAACTCACTGGAAATCACTACTGATGTTACCACTTGTTACCTTAAATTCTGTTTTGATATTTGTTGTCCCACTGAAACCATTTTTGTAAGTTTTGATCGACTTACATCTTCACAACTAAAACGACTACGGAGGGTGAAAGAAAGAATGTACAAGGAGAAAAACTCTAATGAAATTCGTAAGTGTTATATCCGAGTGGAGATTAAATTACAGGTAACTTCCGAGGACTATTCATGGACTAATATTCTTATTGTATAACTACTCAACAATTACACTATGTATATTTATATCCCTCTTATGACAAGCTTTATTTTGGCCTATAATTTATTATTGTACGATTTACGGTTCTTAAGTTATGTTCAGTTTATTAACTACTGCCTCCCACATTCACAGCCACTTTTTGGGCTTATTTGTGTACAAATATTATTTCCTATTTTTTGGTACGTTTCGGTCTGTCTGGTTGATATATAAACCGAGTATGTTTGAAATAAACGATCTGCTCTGATTCGAAGCTGGTATTGTGTTCTGGACTCAAGTGGAAGGGCTCAGAGGACATAGGACCAGTAAGGACGCTAGACTGCCCACACCGGTTGTACGTCATTGGTTGGCCTAGTGTAAAGGTCCGTATAAGTCGTATCCGGATTGGTCGATAGGTCGCGTGATAGCAAAACAAGACATCCAAGGTCATAACAGTAAGCTAAATGGTCTGATAAACCTAGAGATTAGACGTCTCAACTGTATGTTTACTCAAAAACTCTTGTCTTGCAAAAACTCCCCAAGTATGTGGAAACTCTTTAAAGAACTTACAGGTGACAGACAGTTTAGAAGCGATAACCAGCTGAATGTTTTTGACTTAAATAAGTCTTTTGTACGTCAGTCATCTGATGTAATGCTCCCTTGACCCACAAGTTTAAAGAATAGCTGTGTTCCTAGTTTTACTGAAACTTATGTCCGAAGATGTCTCCAGTCGCTTAATTCATCCCGATGTTTGGGACCTGATGGTATCCCAAACCTCCTTTTTAAGAAATTTGCTGACGTCCTATTTTATCCATTAACGACTATCTTTAACAGATCCTTCTCATCTAACCTCATACCGAAAATGTGGAGAAATATAAAGATAATCCTTGTACCCAAGAAAGTATCTGGTGATAAGAATATGAAATTTAAACCTATTGCAATAACTTCACCCTTCTTCAATACAATGGAAAAATTATTAATACTTCCACTTCAGCCTGCAATTAAAGAGCATATTGATCCGTATTAGTTTGCCTACAGATGCAAAAGAATCACCTTAGATGCTGTTGCTGTTCTGCATCACAGTATAGTGTTAAACTTAGAAAAGGGTAAGAAGTATGTTCGATGCGCCTTTCTGGACTATACTTCAGCTTTTGATTGTATACCAAGACAAAGTTTAATTAACAAGTTAATTAGCGTCAACACTGACAGCTGGACAACCAACTGGCTATGTCCCTACCTCTATGGAAGGGAACAGTACACTGTATTTGGAGGAAAGTGTTCAGAGTCTCTACTGTCTCATGAAGGTGTACATGTACCACAAGGAGCTGTTCTTTCACCTCTACTTTTCTCTTTTTTTCTGCATGATCTGCCATCTTCCACAGAAAACACTTTTGTGAAATAGGTGGATGATCTCATTGTATGTATGCCTATGTCTTCCTCCTTACATCCCATAGAAATGAATGAGTTTTTGTCTCGTATTGATTGTTGGTCTGTTGGTAATAGTCTTATATTTAATCCGTCTAAATGTCAAGCTGTTAACTTTAGCATGAGACATGAACGGCATCTAAACATCATTTTGAGATCCTATAATGCTTGTGCCATTGGAGACTCTTTGATAAATACACTCTTGAAGGTCAATTATCTTGGTGTTTCTTTCCTCTGATCTCTCTTGGTTTTCCCACATTTTATTGTTATCGAAGAAGGTTTTCCGTCTGACTTACTACATAAAGAGATTGTATGCTCTTGGGATTACTCGTCATTTACTCTTACGGTTTGTCAATTCTTGCATGTTACCTATTATTCTTTACTGTTTTGTATTATTCTTTCACGGGCTTTTGAGAAAAGACTTTGCTGTATTGCTGAGAGTGCTGAAGACAGTTAGCAAGATGTGTGGCGAATCTTTCAAGGTCATAATTAATATGGTTGTGGATACACATTTAAAATCATGCAAACTCCTGGCAGGTGTTATTTTATCAGATACTAACCATCCCCTTCACTCTTATCTTTCTCCTTGTATGTCTCCTGGTAGAACGAGACGTAATTACATTAAAATCCATGCACGCAAACAAAAATATAAAAGTTCTATAATACCTTACCTAGCAAATATACCCTGTGGCGAACAGGTTGTTAGAGTTAATCTAGTCAATAACCTGCATTCTTAACATGACTTTAATTTTAAATGTTGTACTGTTTTTCAGATATTTTTTTTTAAACTTTTTTTTTGTCTTTGTTACTATTTTTGTTTGCATAAGTAACTTGTTGAAATACCCTGTGCTGAGAATTTCTATATTGTACCAAAATATGATATTGAATAAAGCCATTAATAATAATAATAATAATAATAATAATAATAATAATAATAATAATAATAATAATAATAATAATAATACATTCGATTGTCCCCACTAGTGTTCTTGTTCACTACACTACCTGAGATATGTTATCCACTTATACTACACACAATGATAACTATCACCACTTACTTAATTCTAAGAAAGATGTGAATAATATCCGATTTTCCTACTACCTTGTGTGTCAATTGACCTAGAATGGTTTACTTAAGCATTTGGTCCAGTTAAGATTTACAAATGATCTCTTATTCTTTTGCCAAATTCCATTTATGATTTTTTAAAATTCATAACCAATTAGATTGTGAACGATATTTTGATTTATGAAAATTCACGATTGATGTTGGTCTGTATTAAGACTGTAAAAACTGATATACATAACTATTAAACCATAAAACTGTAATCTATCGAGACTTAATGTAACCGGGGATTGATCGGGAAATACATGGCTGGTTGGTCTTATGTACAATGGTAAATAAAAGTAAGAAAATTTTGACGGCAAGAATATAGTACAGGGACGAAGTTAAAAAAACTACGACAACTTTTAGCTAGGTGCGTTAATGTCTTAGAAAGTGGCTATTGTAAACGTGTAGGATGTGAATAAACAATATTAATATTACTAATGATACACAGATTCTAAATAATTAATGAATTTACTAAAGTATTCTACCCGTTTTTATATCTGTTAATAGAAAGACAGTGATTTAGAAATTCTTTCATATGAATATAAAAAACCCATATTCTCGAGTTTTTATAGGGACCCGAAAGATTTTTTAGGAGTTCCTACATTGTTCTCTTTTAGTGTTAGGATTAATTGTTCATGGTTGAGATCAGTGGTTAGGATTGAGGATTTAAATTTGAAATTAATGAGTTTAAGTTCAGGGGTTTATTGTTAGGGGGTATAACTGAAAATTTAGGACTTTAGGGTCTGGGTTAGGATCGACGCTACTTGTTCAAACATTGGTTAATTCATGTGTTTTATACAATCTACGTTAAAAAAACTGAGGACTGGGTACATTTAATACTTTCATTTTCCATCATTAATGAAAAAAAGTTTTATATCATTTTAAATTTTTTAAGCACTATGCAAAGCTTCTCGTTTTATCTAATGTACGATAAAAGTCCACTAAAACTCAACTGTCGTTGTCTCGATTCTGATATTCTCGTCTTTATACTATACTTTTACCCATGTAAATGACTGCATTTCAAACTATCAATCCTTAAATAACGTACATCCTAATCATTAGGACAAGGTTATATGATAAAATTTTGTAATGCATTTTTTTCGTAGATACTTAAAATTTTAGATATATTATTATGAAACAGTAGTTGTAATTTTTTCACCATATAGACTGATATGTTCATATTAATTCTAAGAAAGCATATGACTGTGTAGTAAACTTTGTTGACCTTGCGACATTTAGTAAACCAACTTCATGTCATAAATTAATTGAGCCTATTCAGTTTAAGTTTGATAAGAATCTGATTAATTATCAATATGTAATGAATCTCTAAAATTCAATGTATTTTGTATAGTCTGAACTATCTATGTTTTGGCGGTCTAATAAATCACTATGTTTTCACATTTAAAATGCCTTTGCATCAAACCTTATATTGTTTGTCTATGATTTCGAATTTTATGCTGCTTATTGATACACACTAATTGTTTGCAGTCACATCCAAATTCATGTTTATAAATTGTAAATGGGTAATGATTATTGATTAACTGGTTCTGTGATACGGTTACAGAAAAATTAGGATTTTTGTGTATTTGCGAATAAAATTTCCTTAATGGTATGGTATATAGAAGTAATCTTGGGCGATTCTTAAAGCCAACTTTTATCCAATTCATAGTATTTAGTTACTGAAGTACTGAGATCACTAAGATTTTAGTGATTGTAGCACGTTTATAATTTTTTAAATATATCACTAAATAACCTAATCATTTTAAGTACAAAATTTATTCACATTAAAGGCTTTTTTGTATTTTCTGATAATTATAAAACAGTTTTATGGCAAAATTTTGATCGTCTACAAAAATTTTATTGACTAATTCGTTTGAGAGTTAGGGCGATCAAGTTATAAGGCAGCAATATGAGAAAGTTGTATTTAAAAATTGTTAATAATTTTAGCATTCCTACATCCATGTTCATCGATTCATATGGTGGACTAGTAGTAAAATTATTTCCTTACAAGTTTATTGTCGACAGATTAGATTTTTAAAAACTTATGAACCTAAAAACGTGAACTCTTCATGCACTTATTTATTTATATTCTATACTGATAAAAATTACATTTTCTAACCATTTCCAAAATTGCTAACCATTTTTACATCACAGCACACATCATGAACTGATTTCAGCTAGACCACTGTTGAAAACCAGGGAGCAGTAGACGACCATTTCATACTAGGGTGGGACTCCTCAAGAGTGCGCATTCACAACCCTGCAAGAACGAATCGAAACCAGGACATACGATCTCGTGCGCAAACGCTTAACCTATAGAATACTGCGCCGGTATCCAACAGTAGTGATGTCTATTTTCAGTCAGTTCACGATATTACACAATCCTCACCCAGTGCGTGTGGTGGATGACTATCTCTTACCCGACAATTATAATAACCATGTGCTCACTTGCAACATACTGCTGGAAAGTCCCATACCAGGCGGAAACGGCCATCTGGGGCTTTCAGGTTTTAGATAGTGGTCTAACCAAGACTGTATTTGAATTGCAAAAGTTTTATAATCCTCATAAATCCTCTTTATTAGTAATTTTATACAAATCTTTTTATTACCATCTTTTGCGTGATCAACAATAAATTCCTTTCACTTATAAATCTCTGAAGAATCTGACTACCCTGTTTCCATAAAAAAAACTAAAATTTCTAACTAATAACGAAGTTAGAGAGTGGTCAAAGTGTTTTTATAAAATAAATGTTATTTTTACAAGAAAATGATAATGGAGGAAATATAGTGTATTTAATTGTAAAGTTTCTGCTTTTGTAGGAAATATTAGAATAACTTAGTTTGCTATCTCGTTAGTTTTCTTTTTGAGAGTTGTAGTCGCTCAAAATTACTTTTTATTGCTCATGAGGATCCATTATTTATCAAGAAAAAAAAGAACTGATGTTATAATAAGTGTTGTGATTAAAGGATTTTTAAATTACTAAATTAATGTTTCAAAATTATTCACTGTGACAGCAGTGTCTAATGATTCAAACTATGATAACTGTTTTAAATATGTTTCCCATGTCATATTTCTAATATAAGTATTAATATATATAATATTTTTAAGTTGACTATAAGCTCTCTTGTTTATACATTGTTTTATTAGCTTATATTTTTACGAAACTATCGGGTCAGTTTGGCTGAACGTATTATACCCGCAACAGATTTATCTGAACAAATTCCATGTGTTGGAACAGAAGCATCAGGAACAGGGAATATGAAGTTTATGGTAAATTCTAGGTGAAAAACATTGGTTATAAAGTTTTATATTTAATTTTTATGTATCAGTAACGTACGTTTTGGTTTTTAAAATTTTATCTTATATGCTTTGATTTTATTTGGTTAGTGATAGAACTCAGGGTATATGTTTCCATTGTATTTGGTATTACTCAGTTGATTTTACGTGCAGTACCTCACCTTTCGAATGGTTCATATCTCATCAGCAACTGATCATTTTATATATGAGAGCCAAAAACAGGAATGTACATACCCTTACGACAAAAACAGAAGAGTTTTCAATGTACGTGAATTTGATCAGTTTCATAAATTTAAATGAAACAAAAGTGGCGAAATTTTCAGAAAATAATCAATTTATTGTATTTTCACGTATTCATCTCATCTGCATGTGAACTAATAAATATCCTAAAAATGTAGAAGAAAAGGTTTAACGGACTCGATTTTAATTATAGTTCAAAGAAGATAAGAAGCCATTCACGTTGCTTAATTGTTTTTGCTTCGTTAAATAAAGATTAACCTTACGACCGGACATTATAACTTGTAAAGTTAGAGAATGCAATTAACTGAAAATAATTTGTCTCACTATACAGACTTTGTCATTTACACTTTGTTTACATTTGTAAAAGCAAATGGTTGTCCTGAATTATTCAAAATAAATGAATTCCTTTAAAAGAAATTTCCACCCATAGTCTACAAATTATCGAATGGGATTAAAAAAATTCTATTTTACTGCGTTAACTTTCTAGATTCTTTAGAACTCATAAGCTACCTCCCTATCTTCTGAGTATTTGTCAAATCACATTGTTTTATATAGAATCGTCAACAAAAAACAGCCAACGGTCTTTTGGAAATTGATAATTGGTTTGTTCATTTTGTTGGAAACCTTAACGCTCTATATTGATTAGAATTTATCGATTAGCTGCATCATATACAGCTCCAAATAGATAAAATAAAGGCATAATACTTATCAGGTCCTTAATGAAAGATAAAATACTGAATTTTTTAACACTTCAATCAAATTATCTAACAAGGTGTTTGGAGTTCAATCTGAAGAATTGTATTGTGTCACAACCTTGAAATTCCTTACCAGGATAATTAATACAGAAGCCCAACTAAAAATGTTTCTTAACTAACTCTCTATTATCAGGTCGATAAATAAAGAGACCGTGCGGCTAGTTCATGTTAAACTTGATTGATAACAGTGTTCAGTTTCATAACACACATATTCTTCAGTTCAAAACCATGACAAAAGATAATTGCTATGTCATACTAAGAATTTGAAATAATAACACCACTGTGTGATGATGATGATTTGATTTTATTATACACAGAAGTTAATATTGATTCTGTTGTAATACATTTGAATTCAAAGATAACACTTCACACATGGACAAAACTGAGACATTAGGTAGTGGAGTAAGTGAATACCTTCAAAGGTTACTACAGAAGAATTTCATCGATTAAATGATTTACGACAATCTTAAAGGATGGACCTTAAGTATCCTATTTATATGTAGCATAGCCAAAGTGGACAAACTAATTACCTCTATGATAAACAACCAACAGACTTGAGTCGACTTGCAAAACGTCCACTTTCAGTGAATAAAAGATGTCTCTCGAGTTTGCTTAATTGGTTGACTTACTAAATATCTCTTTAAACAACTTATATTTCCTTACGAATTTTACTAAAACTTTTAAAGACAAACTGTTCTTTAGCATCGCCTTAATGTTTATTCGGTTTGTTTAAAGTATTGGAAAAAAGATGATAAATCAATACAACGCTGGAAAAATCTTTGACTGATTAGATAAATTATAACCTTAAATTTAAACCGTACACGTCACTATGGAGGGAGTAAGTTAACCAGCATTTGGTGTAAGTTAAATGGCAAATCAGATTTAATTGCGATATATATAGTTAGTGAAAATGTGATTTAAATTGTATGATTATAAGGATAAGTTTATTAGAATTACGTTTTAAATCAATGGATTACATTTGAGATAGTTTGATCATATGGCAAACTGTTAAGACGTGAAAAATGAAGGGTCATAATAGACAAACGGGAATTTAAAAACAACATGAACAATAAATCAAACCATGAATCCCTGTGGATAGATGTAAATTGAGATAAATGGGTGTCGAATGCTCTCCTGATTTTCAATGACTATCCAGATGATATCTCTGTATAAGTGAAAAGTATTATTGAAATAATGATTTAGTGACACAGTAACACCGGATACTTGTTTATTCAGTAAAATTCACATAACACATCGTTCAATATACTGAAATAGTAAAATGAACAAATAAATATTAGGTAGGTTAGAATTGTGTTATGTTATAACTTCTAATTTCATTTAATCGATACAGAATTATTAATCTCATGAACCGATTTCACTGAAATAAGTTGTGACTTTGAGGCGCAAAATTACTAGTGTTTAAAGAATAGTTTTTCTAGTAGTACGCTAATTGTTTAGCTATAAATTTTCATCAGTTTTCTCGTCTTTGGTATATATATAACAGCATTTTACTACCACATAGTAGATGGAATCCAGAACCTTCAGCTCTCGCTCTCTAGCGGTTGACCATTAGATTCTTCGATTTTTCTTTTTAAAGTAGTGTTAAACTAAGCCTTCTAGTGCACGTTTTTATGTCTCCATAACTTCTTCATTCTCAGTGTTCTCTTGCTTTTTCGTATTACTAATTGCTCATCCATTTTTTTGTTTCACATTTTTAACTAGTTGAACGGTGCATTAACTATTGGAACCATGGATGGATCAAATATTGAAATATTTCAAGAAGTTGGTCACTCAAATGCATTTGTCTTTGGTCGTACTATTGAAGAAGTCAATTATTTGCGGAAAACAGGGCAAGTCAATGAAGCTATAAATCTTACCTTTTTTAGTAAAGACCTTTTATTAGTAATCAGAAGAATTAAATTATAAGGAAAAATTATCATTTAATACGCGTTCAAGTTAATAGAATAGACTTGACATACACTTTTGAGATGGTGGAGATTTTTAGCTCAACTGGATGATTTAGGTGGAGTTTTGTTCTCTGTACTAGATGGGTTTGGTCGTGGAGATTTCACTGTTATTCTGAACAACATCATCAACACAAACATAAGATAAAAGTGAATTATTCGAATTTCTATCCAATCTATCGATCAACCAGAAAAATCATGGACAAACATATGACCAAGAAACAAATCAGAGGGAAATACAATCAAAAAACACCAGTAACTAATCAAGGTCGAGGTCGACATGACAAGCTGTGAGTCATATGTAGAGAAATTCAAACACTATGTAGTAAGCCCATTTAACTTTTATTATTTGTCAGCTTGGTGTAATTTAGATATTTAATCCACTATGTAAAATCACTTGTGAGTTTGATTGAACGCATGTCTGCACATCAATAGTTATCTATTCTCTCATTGATTGTAAACACAAACAATCAATAATTTGTCTACAATCGATTAAGACTCAGAAATATATATGGATTTTTAACACTCACCCTCACTGGTTTCCCTGTGTGCTTGCTCTCTGCGCGCTTGCGTATTTTTACCAATAGTTAACAATAAACTATCTCTACAATGAGTGCTCAGGCTTTTGAATAATCTTAAGTAAATTCATAGTACTACTAGGAGATTTAGTCTGTGTAAATACTCAGTTAACGGGATCGTGTTTATTGGAGTCAGCTATAGAGATATTAGCCTTTAAAACCTCATTTCTACCTGATGTCGATGCTGATGATGTTTTTCAGAATAACAGTGAAAGCTCCGCGACCAAACCATCAAGCTCAGAGAAAACTCCGCTTAAACTTACCCTTTTGTACACGAAGCTCCAGTTTTTAATAATTATCGCTAAAAATTCAGTCGTTAAAAAGACTGAGCTTCATAACTAAGATCACTGTTAACTATTGAGAAATCAGGATAATAAGGTGAAATTAACAGGCTTCATCTCAAAGTGATAGAAGTTTCAGTGACATCAGTGTGATAAAAAAAAATTAGAAATGAAGAATATTGTTTGATAGGAAGTTTTAAAATGTGGAAATCATAAACACTAAGCAATATTGAAACTCAAAATCTTGGGGTATATAAATAATTAATGCATTCACAGAATAGATTTTGAGCCATGACGCTCAACATTTTTTAGTTGTTGATCACGATTATAAGTCATAATTGCTCACTGGAAATCACACATATGAATTTCTAAGAAGCCTTATGTTGGTAGAATAATTTTAAAATTAAAATATTTCCCATTCAGTACAATTTGTAAGTCAAATTTAAAATCATAAAGTATGAAGAAGTGCATTTCCATCCAACAGTTTCGTAGTAATTGATAATTATTGTTTCCTATTTTATATGGAAATCGGTTTTATATAAAATGTATGGGGGATTTGTGAAGATTGTAGAATTTCCACATTTTGAATACTAAAATGACTAGCTTCAAGATGTGATTTCTGGAGTGCCTGTGTGAAGCCATAACCAATAGAATTCAACCCGCTTTTTATGTGACAAATTTACTACCTCAGGAAATGGATGTGAGTTACTCAATATCGTGGATTGATTGAAATTAGACATTAACACTGTTGAATGCTGGCTCAGTAGTCCAGAGGTTAAGAGTTCACACTCTAGACCTTGGGTCCCGTTTTCAATCCTTAGATTTAGTGTTTTAGATGCGCACTACTGAGAAGTTCCATACTAGGACAATGTGTTCGTCCAGCGCTTTCAGGATTTCAGTGAGGGTCTAGCTTAGATCAGTTTTTGATTCAAACTGTGATAGTATAAGATGATTTGTTTTTCATTATACTCTTAATTCTTACAGTTTTTATTATCTGATTAATTAGATTACAAACACAAAATGCATTTTTCCACTTTCGGAAGTTTCGTGAAATACTATCTGTTGAATAATTAGTCAAGTGAAATCTATCATTATACTCGTGGCTTAAAGTGCAAGCATATGATGATTAATGATAATCAATAACTTTTGAATCGAAAACCATTGTTAAATATCACTATAATAACTACCATTTTAAATCAAGACTAGATTTTCTAACCTTATATAGCTCACATATTACGTACGCCTTTTATCCATCGTGAAGGAAAATAGGCCAACCACCAGCATTCTCAATCCAACCTTGTCTTGGACAATTCTTTCCAGTTGCTATTCATTCTTTTAATGTCTGCTTCCGATTTCCAATACACCGTTCTCTGGCCTTCTTTTCCGTTTCCCTTCAGGGTTCCAAGTTAGAGATCGCCTCGTAATGCACTTTGATAATTATCGAAATATGCTTCCTATCCATCTCCATCGTCTTTCCCTAATTCCCTACTGAGTTGGAAGCTGGTTTGTTTACTGCCATAGTAGGGTGTTGCTGATGGTATCCGACCAACGGACATTCAGTATCTTATGTAGACAATTGTTTGAAAATACTTGTACCATTTTGATGATGGTTGTGGTACTTCACGAGGTTTCAGTTCAGTACAGTAAAACTGTCTTGACGTTCGTATTGAAGATTGTGACTTTGATTTTGACTGACAGTTGGTTTGAGTTCGACATGTTCAAGTGTAGGAATGCTGCCCCTACTTTGCCAATCCTTGTCTTTACATCTGCATCGGATCCTCCTTGTTCATCGATGATGATGCTGTCCATGTACGCGAAAGTTTCCACCTGATCCGGAGTTTCTCCATTAAGTGTGATTGGGTTGGCGTTCAACGTGTTGTGTTTGAGGATGTTGCTTTTTCCCTCGTGTATGTCGAGTCCTACTGATTCAGAGGCTGTTGCTGCTACTAATTTGGATTACATGCTAATAACTAACGTATTGGACTAACACCATTTGTTTTATTGGTAAATTTCGATGGCCATAAATCGGCAAAATCCTTAAATCTAAGAAAAGTAATTTGAAACACAGAATAGTAACCTAGAAATAATATTATAAGCATCAATAACTACATTTGGTAGAAAACGAAAGAAAAAATTCGTTTTAACAAAAACTGTAATTAATATAGTTTCAATTCAGTAGTTGTGTTTCGATAGTTCAGTATGCATAGAACTACATTAAGCACATTAATATTTCCTAATTCTTTCTATTCATATTCTATAAAACCGTTTATGATAAGCAGTTGGACGTAATCGAGAAAACACTCTAGACTTATTTTTGAGCTAGTAGTAACTTATCAGCAAGAGTTACTTGAAGTATCAAGTGAACTGGTTGCACCCAAGCTGTTCATTGTATATGGTGTTTCATCTGAGATGTGGAAGTCTTCACAATCTATTCAACCATCAAAAGAGAGATAAAGAAGGAGATACATTAATCTGTCTTCTCTGACACCGGTCCTCTGATTAACTATATTTTTTGTCAGTTTCTTCGTTGTGTTATATAGTTGTTTGATATTTCTTTGTTTTGCATCATTTTCCTGTGTCGCTGTTAGGTCTTCCACGTATTAATGCTTGTCATCTCTAATGCTCCTCTTGACTCTCTTGTTTGCTTCAGCGTATTCAACTAGTACCTTGACTTGCTCTGTTCTTGTTTTATCGTTGTTAATTGTTATCTTCTTGTTCTCCCTTTCTTGAATACTGTTCAGAATTTCGGTAGGGATTCATTCCTTATGATGATGCCTGTCGTGTCCCAGAACCTCATGACACTCTGAGGTTAGTGTTTCATTGATCCCTTTCGGCTTGTCCTCCATAGTAGTTTCCTCTTTGAGTAGATCTTGGAAAGTCTGAAACGTGTTTGTTTTGAATAATAGATCCCCAGAACTCACCTGGTAAATGTCCTACTTTTGCAATTTTATTTTGGAAATTTGAATTTCCTGTTTTCGTACCAAAAGCGCCCATTTTCACCATGTCGTACTTCCCACTTGAGTGGACCTTAAATGTCATTGGCTCGTCTCTTTTAATATGCTATTTTGTAACTTTTCCGACAAACCTTTTATGCTGTGTTTATACGCTTGCATTTGCTTGTGGTCGTCGTTCGTGCTTTTGACTGTTTGTGGAATAACTTTCCATTTTCTGAACCTCTAGTTAGCGGGGCTTGTACGCATCGGAATGGTTAGTTTAATTGGTCATTATGTCACTGAGTCTTCGTTCCGTTCGCTGATTATGTGAGCTCATAATCTCTTCAAACATAGCAATGTTGTTGAGAGTTATCTTGAATTCGTCTAGTTTGTCAGTATGTCGAAGGAACGCTGTATTGTACATTTGTAATTCTGTTCCATCAGTTATCCAGTGTTTCTTTAGTTTCAGTTTCATCTTGGCAACCACCGGTTGGTGGTGATCTGAAGTTATGTCAGCTGCTTTCCTGGTTCTCACGTCTTGCATTGACCTTCTGAATTTTTTCACATATACACACTATCAGTGTTTGGTGAAACAATTATTCATTGACTGTAGTTCTTGAGTCAGAAATACAAATCATATAACGTTCGTCGTTTGGTAGGTTTTTGTCTATCTTGCAGGTACATTATGTGCCCGGGTAGTTAAGAACTGTAAGTATTATTTTCTGATAGAAAAAAGAACAAGAATAAAAGTGAGCGGACGAGTCATCTTACTTCTGTACTTACAATGAACTCTGGTGCTTGAATATGACTATTTCTTAGACTTGAGTCTTAATTGTATTTTCTACATGCGTAATCCTGTTTTATAGATAATCATTTACGACTCGAATGTTCTCTGTTTAGTTCAATGTTGAACGATTTGCATTACAGTCTCTGTACCTTGCTATAGACCACTGTTTTTTTATTATTACTTTCTTCCAATCATTTATTGCTCATTCTCAAGTTAACGTCGCATTATATTCTGACGTAACTTATCGGTTTTAGATTGTTCTAGTCCTTTAACCACAAAATATTATCACTTTAGATTTTTATTGTAATATTAGACTGTTTGCGTCTTTCTCAACACTTTATTAGATATAATCCAATGAGATATGTATCTTCCAATCCAGAACTTCGTTTATGCTTAGATCAAATACGTGATGGTTATTACTGTCCAAATGAACCTGATTTATTTAAAGATCTATATAATAAGCTAGTTACAGAAGATAAATTTATGGTATGCGCAGATTATGGTGATTATATGCGTGCTCAGGCTGAAGTTGAATCAGCATACAAGGTAGGATTAATTTAAATTCTCTCCTTATTAAACAGATTACAATAATTTTCCTTAACAATAATAATAATAGTTTATGATATCCCAATGCTTGATTTATTTAAAACTATCAAGTGCACACTTGGTTTTTAATACCTATAAACTAATTGATTTCTTTAATTCTGTTTTGTCTTAATAACATACTTCATGCATAGAACTTAATTCATCTTTTATATTTGTAAATGTAGTTTTTATTATTATTATTATTATTATTATTATCATCAGCTTTATTCAATATTATATTTTTGGTACAATATAGAATTCTCAGCGTAAAGTATTTCAACAAGTTTCGGTTTCTTTCTTCCTGGTCGGTCCTGGAGATAAATATTGAGTGATCGCCAGTTAGATGTTAGCAGTTCACTGAATGAACATCTGAATAATGTGCATTATTTTCGTTGTATATTGCCAGCAACCACATTGTCTTTTATTGAATTTTTTGTAACTTTGACAACGAAAGGTTGTACACTTTTCAGAAACGCAGCAGGATAGGTCATGCGATTAATAAACATAATGATATATTAAAGCAAACAAAAATAGATAACTTGTTGAAATATCTAGATGGCAGGAGCAGGTAGCCTAGATGTCCAAGCAGGCCGCCCTTTGTGAACCACTTCAGTACGCTCAGCATGTTTACAAACGTGAAATATATAACAATTATAATTCAATGCATACAATATACGAAAAAGCGTTGTAACAAATTTATTTATGAACATTTAGTTTTATTCTTTGAGAGGACTCGTAACCATACATTTATTCAAATTCAACTATACAGCGGTTAAATTATACTAAATAATTGTTACTTACTTACTTACGCCTGTTACTCTTCGTGAAGGAGCATAGGCCGCTCACCAGCATTCTCCATCCAACCCTGTCCTGGGCAATCCTTTCTAGCTCCGTCCAGTTGTAATTCATCCTTTTCATATCTGCTTCTATTATCCGACGCAATGTGTTCTTTGGCCTTCCTCTTTTTCGCTTCCCTTCAGGATTCCAAGTTAGGGCTTGCCTCGTGATGCAGTTCGACGATTTGCGTAATGTATGTCCTATCCATTTCCATCGTCTTTTCCTAATTTCTTCTTCAGCTGGAAGCTGGTTTGTTCTCTCCCACAGAAGGCTGTTGCTGATGGTATCCGGCCAATGGATGTTGAGTATCTTGCGTAGACAGTTATTTATAAATACTTGTACTTTCTTGATTGTGGTTGTTGTAGTTCTCCAAGTTTCAGCTCCATACAGTAGAACTGCCTTGACGTTCGTATTGAAGATTCTTACTTTGATATTGGTTGAAAGTTGTTTTGAGTTCCATATGTTCTTCAATTGTAGGAAAGCGGCCCTTGCTTTGCAGATCCTCGCCTTTACGTCTGCATCGGATCCTCCTTGTTCATCGATGATGCTTCCCAGGTATGTGAAGGACTCTACATCTTCCAGAGTTTCGCCATCAAGTGTGATTGGATTGCTGTTCTCCGCTTTGAATTTGAGGACCTTAGTTTTCCCTTTGTGTATGCTGAGGCCTACTGATGCAGAGACTGCTGCTACACTGGCTGTCTTTATCTGCATCTGTTCGTATGTACGTGATAGGAGGGCTAGGTCATCTGCGAAGTCCAAATCTTCTAATTGGTTCTGAGCTGTCCATTGTATTCCGTGTTTTCCCTCAGATGTCGAGGTCTTCATAATCCAGTCGACCACCAGAAGAAAGAGGAAGAGAGAGAGAGTAGACAGCCTTGTCCGACTCCGGTCCTTTCTTGGAATGCATCTGTCAGCTGTCCTCCATGCACTACTTTGCACTGTAGTCCGTCGTATGAGTTCCGGATAATATTGACAATCTTCTGAGGAACTCCGTAGTGTCGAAGAAGTTTCCATAATGTCTTCCTATCTACACTGTCGAATGCCTTTTCATAATCAATGAAGTTGATGTATAGTGATGAGTTCCACTCAACTGATTGTTCGACGATGGTCCGTAGTGTTGCAATTTGATCTGTGCACGACCGATCCTTACGGAATCCAGCTTGTTGATCTCGAAGTTGGGCGTCTACCTATAAAAATTTTTGCTCTGGTTGTTAGAAGGGGCATCGGCCTCGTGGCTTCCGAAGGAACTCGGCTTTCACCATGAAGCGTCATAATTCTTCTAAATGAAGACCTTCTAACTCGCAGGGCAGAGTTAAAATGGTTTGGATTATTTTTTCTGGTAAGCGTTTTTTTAGCGAGTTAGTTTTCTACGGGATGGGGACGCTAACCCCATGCCCAACTTTCCTCCTTTACCCGGGCTTGGGACCGGCAGCAACCCTATAAGAGCTACAGGCGGAGTTACTAAGTAATTGTAGTAATTTCTTTTTAATTAAGATTTAATTGAAAATTAATATAATGAAATCCTTTTTATTTTGAAAAATAAAACTATTGAATTATTCATATTGATTTGTTGTTGATGGTTTGTTGTTTGTTAGGATGAAGTAAAATGGTCAAAAATGGTTCTAATGAATATAGCTGCAGCTGGAAAATTTTCCTCTGATCGTACAGTACGTGAATATGCACGTGATATTTGGAGAGTAGATCCAGTTATTGTAAAAGAATCTATAAAATGTAATTCAGAAAATAATAACAATCTAAGATTCTGTTCCAATAATTAAAGTAAGAAGGTTGAATGATAAAGAGAACAATAGACGAGTACAATTATTACTTTCTTTTTTTCTTTGTTTATTTGTTTGTTTTTTTTATTTTTTAGGTTAATTTGTTTTTATTACAAAAAATGTTTATTATAAAAAATTTGTTTGTTTTGTTATGATTTTTTTTAATGAAAAACTTTTCTTTTTTTAAAGAAAAAAAAATTTAAAAAAAATCATCCAGTTAGTGATGTGCAATTATTTTTAGAAAGATTATTTCTAAAACTACATTTTGTCTATATTTGAAACTCAACTCATTTATACATTGATTATTGACTAATATTATTTTGTTTAAACAAAACTCTGTTTCAAAAAGAAATATATATATATAGAATGTTTCACTTGGTTAATGAAATCTCATTGATTGTTTTATACATTATGGTTATGTTATCAAATTTAGTTGTTATCTGAGTTGACTATGATTGGATTTGTTTCTTGTTTTGTTTTTGATATTAAGAGTTTTATTGTTATGGGGTAAATTAAACTTCATAGAATTTCTCTCTCTCTCGTATGAGCTAAATAGTTTATTTAAATTTTGATTGTTTTATTTTGTTTTAAATGAATTTGTTTTGGAAACAGATGAGTCGAATGAATGATTAAATGGTTGCCTTAGTGATTTAGTTGTTTAATTTTCATTACAGATTTTTTTTTTCTTTTTATGCATTGTGTATTATGAATCTTTTTACTTATAGAGGAAAATATATCTGATTAACTTTTTAATTTGACTTCATTTATAAATTTTAATGTATTTCAAAAGCGAATCATTAACTTAACTGAACTAACCGCAAATCATTTTATCAATCTAGATCGACACTGCTTATTGACTTTTAATGTAAATTTTATATGATTATCATTGTTTTTCGAAGTGTGTATTGAAAATGCCACAACAATCATTTTTATGAGATAGATATACCGTAACTTCTTAGTTTTATTCTATCTTAGCTATTATTTTACCGACAGGTTACTTTCTATTTAATTGTCAATGATGTATTCATTTAATTCAACAAATTGTATTTTTTTAAAAGGAAAATTAGTTTGTATATAGTTAAGAAGAAGATAATATGATACAATAAATTCTGCAAATTCTTGAAGTTTTATTCTTGTTTCATTGAAACATTACGATGTTTCATGTAATTTACCCATCCTATTGTGCTTTCAATAGACCCAGACTATTCACAGCAGATGTCTGATTGCGAATTCTTTGTTACACAGTATGAAATAAATATTTCGAAGATTATTACTTAAGATATTATGATGTTCAAAAGATATTATGTAAAGTGTATGTTGCTTTGGTGTATGAATTCTCTTCATACTTTTATGTAGTTACATCATTAATTAATAGATGGATTATCGAGTGGTCACTTTTTCATTCATTCCAATCATTTATATCTCTTTAAGGCTTCGTATCAGAGTTTTTAAAGTCAGTCAAATATAACCGAGTATGCGTAACAGACAATAACGATTCCCTAGAAATCTTATATTTATTAAATTATAGTTCATCGGGATTTGAAGCGTTTAAAATCCCAAGACCCAACAAAATAATAACCGAATGCAAAAAAAAACTATTTTGATGTACGATAATTTTTTACTGAAATAAAAAGGTTTTCAGCTTTCTTATAAAAGATGAAATCATGCGGAACGCCGGGGAAGTCTTACTTACTCTTACTCCTGTTACTTCCAATGGAGAATAGGCCGCTGACCAGCATTTTCCAACCCATTCCTGGACCCTCCTTTCTAGTTCTATCCAATTCTCCTCATATCTGTCTGCATTTCTCGGCGTAATGTGTTCTTTGGTCTCCCTCTTTTCCTTTGGCTTTGAGGATTCCAAGTGAGGGCTTGCCTTGTGACGCGGGCGGGGGTGGGAGTCAGTATCCATTTATTAAATCACATAAATAGGTTGAAGAAAAATAAGATATGTTGGTTCTCTATAGAAGAAATAATTTTCCAGACCTGTATTCACCTTGAAGATTCTTAAGGTTATCCTAATGATAGACTTACAGGATTAAATGATATGTTTGTAGTGTATTATGAATGCACTACTAAGTCATACTTGTATTCTTAGTCAGAAATATCTTTTACAAGATCACAGCTTTACTCAAGATAACATTGTGTGCTAAACTAATGTGATAATGGATAGCTCCTGAATTAAATAACTGCTGTTGAAAAGCGGAGAAGTTGCTCGAGGGAAGAGCACAAATCACTATGACCAAAAAATAGTTTAAGTTTTTATATTGTTTTTGCCCTTCATAAAGATTGTATTTCTATTGTTAGTTGATTTGATAACTAACAAATGTTTTCCTCATTTGTTTGTAGTGAATAACATTATGTTGCGCTTTATAATTTAACTCCTTTCATATAATTATATTTGATAGGGTAGACAAATATATGAATACTGAATATGTATTTACTGTTTTTCAAATGAACACACTAAAAATAATAAATCTAACAGAATAATTTGATCCCACTTTTATGGCCGATTTGTATAACCATTGAGAGAACAACGATTAAAACCCAATTCAGTCAATGGACAAAATGACTACGTTCCAGTGATGGTATTTTATTTACTATAGTTGTACATTCGCATTTTCTATATACAGTAGCCTATGAAAAAAAAACAGTATTATTGCTTTGTGAACAAAGATGCCAAACGTTGATCAAAGTCTGAAGTAACGTAATAGTCAATTGGAAATAGAAATGTAAGGAATATATTGAAGTGAGATATGAAGAAGAGATTGTCCATTTGACGAATATAAGGAAGATATAGTAGAAAACCAACTGGTTCCAAAACAAATTACAATTTAATAAACAGGGTTGTTAGGTCCATGGTAAACTAAGAGATTGTGTGTATGGCTTCTGAAAACGAAGACTAGACAAGAATTGATAAATTATTAAAGCCTCATCTATGAATACGTTTCTAATCTAGGTTCCCTTAAGACCACTTCGTTTCACTTAATGAATAATTTTAAATGAAGTCTCCGTTAAAGATAAATAATCAGAATGTATTAGATGTTCAACAATCGAGCTATAGACTGGTCTACCTTTCTATAATCATGAGAAGAATCTCTGGTTCAATTTGTGATTTAATTAGCAAACAGTTCAGTAAATGTAAATTTTCATGGATATTTCATAATGAAAATATAGTTTTCCAGCTACAACTTATGTTAAATGAATAGTAAACTAAACCCTTTCTTACAGTTAATAAGATATTGTCAATACTCTTATTTTATTATCATAGTGTGTTTCACTCAAAACTATCTGGCAACAAATACTTTGTATCATGTTTTCGTTATTGTTTCATTGAGCTACTACAACAGTCTGCGTTACACCAGTTAATTTTCTTCCAAACTTATTGCTACACTTGAATGACAATTTTTTAATAATGAGTTAAAGGAATTTACAGTCAATTTTGGTATTTTTCTTGAATCTATATGGATGACTCAATTCAACATGAAGTTCTTACTTACAAATGACTGCAAGATCAGTTGTTATTGTGAGGTGTTTGGCGATCCAGTGGATGTTTTTTTAATCTGTTATGCAGTCGGTCCTGGTAATGTTATCAAGAATGACAACGAAAGCTTGTAATTAAATCATTCAACTCAGTGGACACAAGGCTATTAAAAGACAAACATGGTATTTTTTTTATTTAGTTTTTAATGCAGTCCTAGTTTCAATAGTTATTTTTAAACAGCTTAATTACGTAATCATTATCACTGAACAATTTTGTTAATAAGAATTTTCGGTGAGACTAATCTTTATGAACGAACCAATCAGATTTGGATGACAGGTCTCAGATTTTAGCGAGAAATTCATACACTTATTTGACTAAATACTATTTCGGAATTATAGCTGATGTCAATTCGTGATGAAAACCGTAAATCTAATTCCTAACCTTAACCATCACCTGTAAATCATAATTCTTATTCCGCACAGTGCTTTATAACCCTCATTTAGTCCTAATTATTAGGTGGGTATTCTCAAGGTCAGTTTAAGATTGCTCAAAGGTCGTTCATAAATTATATTCTCATCACATTTTCATTTATCTAGATAAAGGGATAAATTATAAAACTAATGTAACACTAATTTATTGTATTAATTAACATTTAGACAAATACTTAAAAATTGATTAATACACATTTCGATTTAACTGGACCTTATAAAGATTCAGTTTTGTACCAATAAAAAATAAAAAAAATAAATTACATAAATCAATTTCTGTTTGACATGATATTATTTTTTAATTAGTTTATAATTATTAAACAATCTATAATCAATATTTTTGTAGTTATGTAACTAATTTTGTTCATTTTCAATTGATCAACAAAGTCATTTTTAATTACATGGTTTCAGTTTACAATATTCATGAAATTTGTTTATGAATTAAATGCCATTTATATAAGGCTAATTAACTGTTGTTTGTATTTAATCAGCTAATACTTAAATATGTGTAGAAAACTTATAATTATATATTCGAAATTGAGTGACATGAAAAACTAGTGGAATCCAGAACATAATATCAACAAAACAATAAAATACATATATTGAACTGAATTGATTCATTATGCATGAAAAGCATTTGACATCACTCAATTTACCTGTACATATGTAAAAACAAGATGATACTGATATCAAACTCTTTTAAACGTCATATTCAGATGGCTTGTATAAAAGAATAAGATCAAACTGAAACATAGGGATGACATTAGACGATTCCAAAATATTATCTTAGGAAATTTCAATCACTTACCACGTCCAAAATAGTGTTTAGGAATAAAACTAGGTGTTGGAGCTGAGAGTCATGAAAAGTGATTAGGGTTAGGATTTCATTATCAACTGGCATCAGTTATAATGCAAGAATGGATGAATTTCGCGCAAAAGTTCAGAAGCGAAATCTGATTAGTTTGTCGTTATAATCTAGTTCTACCGATCGATGGCAGTACATGTGGAGTGAGAACAGTATATGTATTCACAAAGTGATAAATGATGAGACTTTTCCCTATTACAATTG